GCATCCCATTTCCTGCAGTTCCTAAGTAAATGAGTAAGATTCCAGAGTTGCATCAGGGGAATGGGTTTGGCTTGGAATCCTGCACAATGACTCATGCTTTCATGAATAAATTCATTTCCTCAGAGAAACAAGACAAAATCACGTKTTCTACTTAGTCCAGCTACCTAGASTGGTGATTTAGGAAGCTATTGCAAAAAAAATACAGTTTTATCTAGCTTTATAGTGAATCCACTGCAGTTGTACTTGCAAACAGAACCAACTTTTTAAGAAGAAATGAAWAACTGGTGTAACTGGGAAGTTCTGGGTATTGAAAGATGTCAGCTAGAAACCAGTTTGCAATCAAAACCAGACAACTGACAAAAAAACATTGTGGAAGTCTGGGTGTTTCAGAAATTGACTGCTATTTACTCAGGTCTCCACATTTATTTCCCTGCTGCACATTTAAAAACAAGTTGTAGAAACACAGACTTGTAAACACTAGGAAATGAGAATTGCATCACCCAGCCCCTCCCCTTCCCCACAATGACAGTGCAAAGAAAATGAGAGTGTGAAGCAGCAAAAGCTCTGGATCACTGTAACACCAGCATCCTTACATATCCATGGAAGYAGACAAGGAGAGGGTCCCAGAGTAWGGATCATGKCTAATCAGTCATATGCAGAGATACTTGTTAGTGCAAGCTAGGATGAAACTCATCTTTCAGCTTTAAGTTTTCTTACAAGATCAGTTCAAATATTTTGATATGGCTACACCAACCAAACTGGTATAATACAAAATATGGATTTTCATGGAGTATGAACCAACTCYCTGTATCTTACCCCGGTAAGTATTTCAAAAGAATAATGCAAGAATAATTCTTTGGGTCAGCTCTATGAATTTTTGGTGTCAAGTTCCACTTTGGAGTCCAGGCCTCTCTGGTTCAGGAAAAGATCATTCATCCATCATTTTCACGCAGCTTTACAAACGCAAAAGTTTTGTAATTAACAAATCTCTGCAGTATCACCACCAGGCTAGTAGATAAAGATACCTTCACATTTTACAAAGGAGAAATGAAGCCATTAAAGCTGGAAGAAATTGTTCAGGTCTCAGAAGAAATTAAAGRGAAAGACAGAACTGGAACATGATGTAGCTATGTGTAGTGCCAGGTCTTCCCCTCACACACTGACACCATGTGAAAGCAAAGCCTGATGATGTCAGAGCAAAAGCAGGACCAATTGTACATGGAATAACCCCTAGGACTTTTTAAGGGCAGATTAAACCTCAGGTCTCAGGTAGACTGGAGAAATGCCACTGACCTTTCCAGGGCTGGTCAGCATCCCCAGTAGCTTTGGGTTACTGATAACCGCCCAGCTGAATTGTAGGTCACACAGCAAATGTGCAGGTCCTGGTTTGATGTCCTTAATCACCCCTGCAGCACCATCAGATTTGACTCAATCTGTCATGAGCCAGGATCTGAGCAAATGGAGAGAGCAGAAATTAAATGTCAGCATGTAAAACCTCTTGTATACTAGCAAAACGGAGACAAATACAGTAACATTTTGAGTTTTACTGAAAATAGCAAGAAGTACACATTGAACTCCCCTTGTATAACTGTCTCTAGACTTTATTTTTGTGATAAAGGTCTAATGGTATCTCATAGTTTAAAGGCAAACATGTTAAATGTGGCATTGTTTTCATTTGTTATCACTCAGATCCTGATCAAATACCACCAGAGGCCAGTGGAAATACTCTGCTTCTAACGACTAGAATAAAAATTATAAATGTTTCTACATTCAGCAACTTCTCTTGCTTTATTATTCATGTTTAATCTGTGAAAGCCAGTATGTAAAGAAGGGCAAGCAGGCTGAGGAAGGGCCAAGCTTCCCTGGACAGACACTGTAACATTTCTGGCATTCCCATCACTTTATCAACACCATCTCCTGCTACGATGMTAAAAGGCAGCAGTGGAAGAACAGGAAGAAGGAAACTTATGTGAGAAAAGTGWGYCCATCCCTACAATCACTCACTTACAGGAAATCAAAACAATCCTGGCCTTCATCTTCCAAGTGCAAGAAAAATGCYTGTAATTTGTTCACCCCGTTCTGTTTGTGTTGTTCTGAGCCTTCTCTCATTGAAGCTCTCTGAGGCAGAAAATCAATGTCAATCATGCCAGATGACYGCTTTCCTCCTGAGCATCTACTGCTGATAATAAGATCACAAAGGCCACATAAAAGRAAAAATGTGACCATTGCAGCTGCTTTCTCAGTCCTGTAACTGAGGCAAATTTACAGGTGGTTTAACACTGGCTTATTAAAATCTGACTCTAACAAAAAAAAGGGTTCTGATCTGCTTATTATCATTTTTGAGGACACAGTGGGACCAAGATGGTCTTGAAACATCCCAGCTGCCTTGCTTTGGCCTGCTCTGCTAAAAGGAGGACCTCTAGTATCTGAATAGGTAAAACAGAGAGATAAGGACACCCTGCTGCCTTATATTACAGATAACAGTGATTTGCTCTTGGTCCTGTTCTCAGTAACACGCAACACAAACACAAGCAAGTGAAGATGTTTTTGGAACTAGCACCCTGGAAACCAGGTCCAAGTTTATTTTGTCTGAGCCACAGGCTAAGAAGAATCTTACAATATCAATATACTTCTCTTAGGAGCCTTGGTCTCATTGTGAGTAGTAAAATAGTACTTGCTCCACATTGGTTACATATTTTTAAATGCTTCTTAGTCTATTCAGCCAGTATTGTTATGGAAGCTTCCTATCTTGCATTTCAACTCTTTMGAAGTAAAAGTTTTTATAGTCAAAAATATTTCTTACTGGTCTTCATTCCTGCCAAATGTTCATTTTCTGTCCTGCCAGATGTCTGTAATTCAAACCTGGATGAGATGTTCAGTCCCATTCATACAGAGCCACTGTAAATACAGATTTCTGGGATGCAGAAATAAACTTCCTAATCCATCCTTAAGGCTTCTGACAGAACAAGATGCTCAGTGAACCCAGAATAATGCAAAATGACAGAACTATGTTTCCTTTTTATCCTGCATTCATGTGGCTTTAGTCAGCTCGCCATCTAAACACACTTCTCCTCCTTAGTGACCAGCCTTCTCTGACATGGCACATCCCACAAGCATGGCTCCTTCCTCCAGCAGCAGAAGGAACAAAGCACAGATAGTTTTGCCTGACAGGCCAACAGCCTGTTACATTTAACCTCCTTTGCTGGAAGTSCTGGTCTTTATATTAAGCAAAACTTTGTATTTTTCTGTCTTGTTTCATGCTAACCCACAAAAATTCTACCTTTCAAGYATTTTTAGATGTTTTCTCTCCTATATTTTTTGTTTCTTCTGTTTTGCTAATGGACTGTCAAATAAATGAAGAGGTTTTGGGCCAATATTCCTGTCAGATTAACCCAGCAGAAGGGAATTGTCCTTGGGATGGTCCAATGGACCAGGCATGCCACAGCAAGATAAGCACCTCAGAAAGAATGCAAGCACCTCCTAGGAGCTGAGGACAGTATGGCCAAAAATCAGGGTCACAACCCCAAAAGGAAACTAAGACAAAGACTGTAAAGGTACTACAAGAAATATAAAAAAAGGTGAAAAAACAATCACTGTAAAAAGAAGAATGGGACAATAAAGGTAACACAGCTATTCACGCAATGTTAAATGAATACTTACCTGATTTTCAGTAAGGATGAACATGCTAATCCATGGGGTAAAGACAGGGCGCCCAAGAGAAGGTAGCAGGCAGAAATGGGTAAAAAGATTATAAATGAACACAACTCCCAGATAGCGAGCAAAACTCCCTGAGACTGCTGTCTTCCAGCTGGAGGAACCAGGCATTCTCAATTCAAGAACTCTGACATGCAGCAAATCACAACTCCAAAAGACTTCAAGTWAATTTGTGTACTTGAAGGCATTACCACAGAACCAGAGAACAGCACATTCTAAGAAGTAAGCCATGATGGAAGCAGTTTGGGCCTCTGCTTTTGAGGTCTATGCAGTTCTTCAGGAAAACTTAAAAAGTAAAAGCTAAGTGAAAACACAATATTCAACGAATAATAAAGGGATAATTGTAGTATGAATTTACTAAAAGCCAGTTTTGTGGGATGACCCACAAAATAGTATGGTATAAAATTGAAACTTCAAACATTCAGAAAACAAATTTTAAAAAGTTGTTTTTGCTTTTTGTTGGAGTCCTTGCAAGAAATAAGTGACTAAGAGAAGGATTTGGCTCTACTAACCAACCGCAGGGTGACAGGAAACTGACAGCATGGCGTGACTGAAAAAGACCAGTGTGAGTCCAGTCATGGTATTTCCAGTAGCTTTAGGAAAACGTTTGTGTTGTGTTTGAGGCATCGCTGTCTGAAATACTCCATGCAGCAGCCCCTCCCATGAGAAAAAGCATTTTAAAAGCATTTAAACTGAGATAGTCCAACAGAACATACATCCCAATGATCAGGGGRCCGCCTGTGTGATCATGCCGGGTTGAAAAGGTTTGGCTTATATAACCAAGCACAACAAATGAGTGGGAACGAGTGGATATTTAAATACACGGAAAGGGGAAGGAAACAAAACCTTCAAACATCTATCGATTTACATGGAAATTAGAAAGTGGTTTCCAGCCACGTGACAAGAGGCCCCATCCGGAACACCGCCACAAACCCCTGAGGGGCACAGGGATGGCTGGCACTGCCCGGGCAGAAAACGAGGGCAGGAACGCCTTGAATTCCCCACAAGCTCTCCAGAGCCAGAGAATTTGCTTTCACTCATCCCGGCTAATAACAGAGAGAGTACAATCTCTCCCGACGACAGCCCTCCGACGAGCCCCGAGGGGGTGCGCGGCTGAGCGCCTCAGCCCCGCCTCATGGCGCCGGCCGCTAGCCTCGCTTAACCCTCCCCTCCGCTTCTCTGCTCCCGCTCCTTCGTACTGCTCCTTCCCCCTCCTCCCTCTCCCTCTCTCTCCACCCCGACGTGTCGGCGGGCACGTCCCCAGCATCGCAGCCCGCCCGCCTCACGTCAGCCGCCCGGCCCTTATTTAAGGCGGCGGCCGCCACCTCCCCCGCTCCGCCGTCACAGCCGTGCTTGGGTGAGGACGCTCGGTAGGTGCGATCGCCGTGGCGGGCTGCGATGGGTGTGGGAAGGAGGGGTGCAGGTAGAGGGGGAATGCGARAAGAGGGGTAGCGGGCGGTGCTGTCCCACAAACCTCCGGAGGGGCTCGGCGGAACAGGCGGCACCAAACCAACAAAGTGCGCTCGACGCCGCCTGCTCCGTGGGGCCCCCCGGCCGTGTGGTACCGGGCATAGCCCTGGGCTTTAATCCAGCCGGCGTGATTTCCACTCACAACCCCCCCATCATCCCCTCTCGCCATCCCCTTGAGCCTCTGTGGATTAACTTGCTTCCCTTAATCGGTGCATGTGGCTCCAGGGAGTGATCCTGCAAAGGGACTTGAGAATGGGCTCAGAGCACTATTTGAAATACAGCATTAGTGGACCACCTACTACTCYCCAAACTTGTTTACTGGAGGGGAATGGCACTCTGAAAGCAAATTTTTTTTTGAGCTTTTAAGTTTAACAGACTTGCTTGATAGGGTGGCTCTCATCAGCCTTGCATATTAAAGTGCTTATAGTGTAAAGGGAGGACTTGGCACATGGAGAGCACACTACTCTGGCCATACTTCAGGAGGCTTATGCAAATCAAGACTGACCTAGCTTCGTTGATTCTTCCTAAATATGGGCACTGCCGGTTTCCTGTCCCTACCCTCAGCCCCAAAACTTACAGTCCTTACCCGCTGCTCTGCTTGGCTTCTGATGCTGTGAACGAGTTGCCGCCTGTTCAGCACTAGAGTCATGTTGTGTCTGTACTTGCATCCRTCTGTGCAGCTGCTCCTGCTCTGGGCTCTTCAGGCTGCTCCCAGCAGAGCTCCCAGTGCAGCACCATTTCCTGGGAAAGTGTGGTGTTGGCTTCGACTCACCAAGATGGGGATAAATGCACAATCCCCTGTCATCACTGTGCCCTTTCAGCGCACCCGTGGCTGTCAGAACCCATCTAACCAGGATGYTGTGCAGCTGGCAGCTAAAATGTGAGGGTGGGAGAGATGGTAACATCRGACTCCAGCCATCTTAATTTAAAACTGTGTAGTTTCACTTCAAAACACACTCATGAAGTTGACGTGGAGCTCATGCTGTACTTAAAAAGATCTTGCCTAAGTGTTGCATGACTTCAGCTCTGGAAATGCTTCAGGGCACAGAATACCAGTTTTTCAGGGTGAGAGAACAGAGCTTGCCAGACTGTGCTGTGCTTAGAAGTACTAAAATGGCTTCCTGTACCTAGATGTAATATGGATGGTCATGTGGAACATTCTACTCCTGCTGCTGGAGTGCCACCAGCTATATAATATAATCAATGCCTCTCAGGCCGTATTTGAGGCAAAGCTATGGTGAGATTGAACAAAGGATTGTCATCAATAATTCAGTTTTGCAATYATTTTGTGGCATACAGGCAGTATTTATTCATATGTTTCATATCCATTTTCTTATTAACCTAGAATAAARTCTGTCTTGCTGGATACAGGTATTTTGGTGTCAGTGAAAACTCCAAAGTTGGCAGAAATAATTTGTTGCTTTCCTTTCAGCAGTGCACCATGTCTGTCAAGGATCAGCTCATCCACACTCTCCACAAAGATGAGTGTCATGCCGAAAATAAGATTAGTGTGGTTGGCGTGGGTGCAGTTGGAATGGCCTGTGCCCTCAGCATCCTCATGAAGGTAAGTGTCAAGCTTACCTCGAGGGAGGAAGCAGCAGAAGAACCTGAGACCTAAGAGAAGGGCAAAAAGATAAACTACCTTATTAGACTACAAAGACAAAATGAATTATATACAATCCTAGTATACAATCCTTTGTTTGGCCCTSAAATGAAGTAACAGTTTTCAGGCTATTGACAGAGAACAAAGACCTGCCAGTTCTTGTAAACCATGTTTGCCTCAGGATCAGACAGAATGTCCTTTATGTATCATTTTAGGAACTGCATTTACCTTTGGGACTTGCAGACTCCCTTTTAAGTAGGAATTCTCTCACACTCTAAATATACAAAAATAATTGAGAACTGAGGAGTTATTTTGTCATGAGCAGAGTGGACAATAGAATTATTCTTTGCAGTGTAGCCTGGAAAAATTGGTACTTGACACTCTGAATGACTTGTCCTCTGCATTCAGTTATCACATTGGAAATGCTGTGGTTAACACCAGGCTTCCTTTTCTTAACTGTCAAATAGGTTGCTTATGAACTTCTGTTAACTTATTCTTCATTATTATCCTGTTAAATTGAACAGCTATTTCATGCAAAAAGTGGTTATGAAAAGTACAAAATGAACTCAAGAAAGTGGATATCCCAGGGAACTAATTTAAGGACTCTGGGAAGAATTGAAGTGTTAGAGATGAGCAAAACTGTTTATGTAACTTTTAAAATAATTGCAACTTCACTGTTTAAAAACTGGGAACTTTGCTCAGCGGCAGTAAACTTACCATTAATCTTGGTCTTTTGTAGGACTTAGCTGATGAACTCGCCCTTGTTGATGTTGTGGAGGACAAGCTCAGAGGAGAGATGCTGGATCTCCAGCATGGCAGCCTCTTCCTTAAAACTCCAAAGATTGTCTCTGGCAAAGGCAAGTAGTTGGCTCTAATGTGCTCATTATTTCCAAATGGACATAGCCACCTCAGGTCTCATACTGGACRGCCAAGTCTAGCACTTAGGCAGTCACCCTGATTGCTGGGAGGAAAGCTTATAGATATAGTGCTCAGCTGAGACTGTTTAACGTACCTTCTTATGGCCAGTTCAGCTACGAATTTTCTTCCCGAGTTCACTACACTCAATACAGAAAGATAAATCTAAGTACTTGTGCMCCATAGAGAACTTTATTTCACAACCAGTTAACCTCTGAACCCATTACTACTTACTTCTGATAACTTTTAGTGACAGCCTTGAGTAGGGCAAAGGTTTAACCAGCTCATACCTTAATTACGGTGCCCACAGGTAGTAGGTTATGAGGGCAGAGCCTTCTTCCTCTTCTTTACAGCTCTTAGCCTGAATTCTATCCCAGCAGCTATCCCTAATGCCATGTGTGGCTGAGTAACATGGAATATCACTGCCTGCAGCTGCATGACACAATGTTGCAAACATGTCACAAACATGCCCCAATGTTGCCACTTGTGGCAATGAGCAACAGTCTCACAATAACATTCAATTTTCTACAGAAGCAAAGTTTAGGGTAACAATTACCAGGGAATTGCTGCACCCTCAAGAATTTGAGATCTCAGTCTAGAAAGGAAGTGAGAACTCCTGTTCTGAACCATATGTAGTTAGAGGGCATGCTTGACACAGCCTTTTGTCTGCAGATTACAGTGTGACTGCAAACTCCAAGCTGGTCATTGTCACTGCTGGTGCCCGGCAGCAAGAAGGAGAGAGCCGCCTTAACTTGGTCCAGCGCAACGTGAATATCTTCAAATTCATCATTCCCAACGTTGTTAAATACAGTCCTGACTGCAAGCTGCTTATTGTCTCAAACCCAGGTTTGTCTTGTGTTGCCATAAGAGGATTTGGCTTAGAGAATAGTGTTTCTTCAGTAAGGTGGCATTAGTGAACTAATATGATCAGCACAGGCTTTTASAAAATACTTATGCTGGGGAAGAGAAGGCTCCAGGGAGACCTTGGAGAACATTCCCATAACTAAAGGGGCCTAAAGAGGGGTGAACCTTTTACAAGGGCATGTAGTGGTAGGACATGGGATAATTGCTTTAACTGAAAGAGGTAGATTTAGATTAGATATAAGAAATTCTTTATTATGAAGGTGGTGAGACACTGGAGCAGGTGGCCCAGAGAAGTTCTGAATGCCCCATTCCTGGAAGTGGTCAAAGCCAGGTTGGGTGGAGCTTTGAGCAACCTGGTCTAGTGGAAGATGTCCCTGCCAATGGCAGGGGGTTGGAATGAAATGATCTTTAAGGTCCCTTCCAACCCAAACTATTCTATGATATCCATACAGCAAAAAGCATCATCTTCCCTCTCCAGGCTCAGCAGTTTGGTMTTCTGAGAAATAGACTGGGGTTTTCAGTTCAAGTGATCTTGAGTACAGTAAGGGGTCACTGACTAATGGCATTTATAGCATAAAGGTAGAGCTGAGAAACTGCTCAAAACAGTCATTATGTTATAYAAAATAGCCATATGTTAGCCCACTGCAGTGCCTTGCCATGGGCACTGCTTTGTGCTGTTCCACGCAACTAGCATGCAGGTAAAATRCTTACAGATGAATGGAAAGTACCATCCTCATTATCAAATTGCTCATGAGAGGCACTTGTTATTCCCATTTTCCTTACAGTGGACATTCTGACCTATGTGGCCTGGAAGATCAGTGGCTTTCCTAAACACCGTGTTATTGGYAGTGGCTGCAATCTGGACTCTGCCCGTTTCCGCCACCTCATGGGAGAAAGGCTGGGCATCCACCCTCTGAGCTGCCACGGATGGATTGTTGGCGAGCACGGAGATTCCAGTGGTAAGGGTGCAGTYGGGCTGGCTGTTACACAGAACTTTCTCATTTATTTGCAAGAAACATCTTAAAAAGCTACAGCAAAACATTGCTCCAAAACCTTTGCACTGCAGGGCCTTAAAAATGCAAGTCCTGATTTAAGTCTTTTGCYGCAAAGAAACCCTAGATGATCTATATTTGACCTGAGTAATTATGTTTGGAAAAGGTCGTTACTGTAACCTGAGTTGGCTAAACATTTCTGGGCTAAGTTGTTCTCGTAACTCCCAAAAAAGCCCAAACTGAAGCAGCAAGAGGATAAAGTTCTCTGGAAAGGACTCCAAAAGATCTGCACCCGACCTACTGGCAGTCACTCGGCTGCCATTACTGGCATCTCTTAATTACTGTACATAGAAACTGAAGTGCAGAGGCAAGYCCAGAGGACAGGAGAAAGAGCGACTTTCTCCTTATTTAACCTATACTTTTCCAAGTGGCACCAGAGCAGTACTGTCTGCTTCTTGACACCCGACAGAATGCATTTGGGATCAATCCTTATTTGACAAAACTTGGCAAAACACAGAGTGACTGTCATTTTAGTTCATGTTACCCAGGTGTCTCTCTTTAACAAAGGTGTATTCAAGTTTCGTGACACTGTATATAAATGCTGATGTGCACCTAGGTTCTCAGCCTGCAATTTAGATTTGCCTTAYAGGTCATACTATATTTAAAGTCATAGCTAGATCATAAGTGATGTGTTGCAGGTTAATCCAGYTAGATCTTATGTTAATTTGAGAAGGACTAAGTATTGTGAGATAATTAATCTATGTGCAACTTGCAGTACCTGTCTGGAGTGGAGTCAATGTTGCTGGCGTCTCTCTGAAGGCTCTTCATCCAGACTTGGGAACTGATGGAGACAAGGAGCACTGGAAGGAGGTCCATAAGCAGGTCGTGGAGAGGTAAATATTGGTTTGGCGTTTTTATAAATTTCAACACAAGAACAAATCATGAAGAGCTGAAGAATCTCTRAACTAGTGTATACCCAGATCTAGAATACCTCAGTAGCCCCAAATGTCATGAATCAAACATACTAATAGCACTTGAAATAATATTTTAAGGAGTAATGTAGATTTAGCAGCTAAGTTTTTGTGATTAGTTRGCTTTAAATTGGGGAACAGCTTTAACTTCTAGGTTTCTGGTATAACTGTGGGGATTAGTGTAAATGCAAATAGAATTACTCACTCCTGAGCTGATTTTGATCATGCCAGCAAATGAGTCAAGCTTCTGATGCCTCCAAAATGATCAGGATACCTCCAAAAGCCTTTCTTAAAATTTGAAGCATTTCAGTTTATGGTACTTGTTTTTTAATGAGTGCTGTGTGTCTGCAGTGCCTATGAAGTGATCAAACTGAAGGGGTACACGTCCTGGGCTATTGGCCTTTCTGTGGGAGACCTAGCTGAAAGTATTATGAAGAATTTGAGAAGAGTGCACCCCATCTCCACAATTGTTAAGGTGAGCAGCCCCTTTTTGCTAATTTCTTACTGATAACTAAAAGTCTTGAATTACGAAAACAAGTGATTTGCTTTCTGGTTCAATTTCAACTAAATTTAGTTTCCTAATAGGATATTCTATGAAATATGCAGACATACATMAATTCCAGCCTAACAATCCTTACCTACTTTTCAGGGCTTGCATGGAATAAAAGAAGATGTCTTCCTAAGTGTTCCTTGTATACTGGGCAATAATGGCATCACTGATGTAGTAAAGATGATCCTAAAACCTGAGGAAGAAGACAAATTAAGGAAGAGTGCAGACACACTGTGGGCAATYCAGAAGGAACTACAGTTTTAAACCTGCCCAAACAGTTTTTGGCTCTTAGCAGTTTAATGGGTTTAGTGGTTTGTCTTACGTTGCACTTTCCAAGTAAGTCAAATCTTTCAATGTATTATCTCAACTAGAACACGCAAAAAGCTCAAATCTGAACAATGGAGTTTCCTGAAGATAGCATTAGGAAACTAATCTAGGGTTTTTTCCCTGTTCACAGACACCCATGTTCTTAGCCAGAGCTAGATAATCTAGTCAGTCTTGTTCAGTAAAGTGGTATGACAGAAATCCAGCAATCAAAGCAGCACTGCCTAAAAAACCCTTTGCCTTTTCCTCATCTTGTATCATGTTGGGTCAAAGGAATAAGAAGTAATTGCTACAGTGTGAAACCAAAGACTTTTCTTGAAGTTAAAGGATTGTCAAGCCAATTGACCAACCTTCTCTGCCAGCTGAATAGCTTAAATATTTCACTGTTGATAGGTCCAAGTGTATTTTCCTAACACTGCTTTGGAATTTTTGTGGATATTATTTTCTTAGAGAACCTTATTTTTGTGTACTATATCAGTCTAGTCGTAAGTTCTGTCTCCTGAGCATGTTTAAAAAAATGTTAAAATCTCTATGTGCAACAAGACAGTGACTGTCCAACTGTAGCACCAACTACAACACCAAATAAACCACAAACTGTTATTTCTGTCTCCTTGTTTTTCTTTATAGGGCTTTGCCTCCCACCTGCACCTCCATTCCCACCCCCCTCAATCAATTCTATTTTTCAAGTCACACTAAATCAAACATCACCTCTGTAATAATGTCATGTGTGCAGCTATGCTGGAGGCTTCAGACAGTTAGGTAGTTCTGTAAGTCTCACCCAGTTTTTAAAAATGAACTTAAGGCATGAAAAGCCTTAAGGCAAAGGCTCAGTCTTAAGCCATGCTGGTTATGGAGCTGAGAACAAGAACCTTTTGAGTTTTCAGTCTCACTGATCATAATARATGTGAACTTTTCCAGTTTGGCAAAACATCTTCCAGATCTCACAAGTGCAAGTATGGTTAAGCTGACATTGCATGACAGGCCCTGTTTGAAAAGAAAGCACATCATACACAGTTTTGTAGAGGAAGAAAATATGCAACAAGTTTTATTCAGCGTTAAGTCCACCAGCACAAAGATTACAGGAGATAGAAAGTGCATTAATAAAAGCTAGTCTTTACCAAAAAGAAAATATATTATTGATTCAAAATATCTTACACTTGAATGATGTAATAACTTACTCTGGGCACCTACTGATTAAGAGAAAGATCAAGAGAATGGCTGCTTTATAAGGAGATCTAACTTCCCAGGTAAAGTCTGGGAATTTAGTAGAGATCACTGAGTCCAGCAGTCTTCCTTGCTTTCTGCATTAATGCCCTCAGCTGGAACTGCTTGCGAGACAGAAGACGTACATGCTGCAGAAAGAAAATAAGAACAACTGGCTATTGGTAAAGTTTTGTTTAAAACTTWATAGTACTGCAATACAAATGTTGAAAACATGAGACATTCTGTGACCCAAACGGAATGTCAGTTTTTTGGAAACACTAAATTAATTTTTCTACTAAATGGCAGATTTTTGGCAGATGGCTACCGCATGCAATTACTAGAGTTTCATTTTTTGTGATTTTAATTATTAACTAGTTCATTAAAYTGAAATAATAAATAATTAAACTCCACACATATTCTTATCAAAGTAATAACATGTTCTCCAAGGTGAATTTGGACTAATGCACTTCCCCTGGGGCAGAGAGCAGTTTTTCTAAAAGTAGATAAACAGAATTAGCAAGCTACACAAGAAGGAAACAATATGACTTGGTACCTATAACGCTTTTAAAATTGGTCTGTTAATTCTGAAATTATTTTCTAAAATTTAGGAGCATAGAAATATTGATGTTCCTACAGCAGGATCCTCTTCAGTGATCATAAGCATTAGTAGACTGAACAAAAAATTTGAAGTGAACRTATTTAAAAGGCTCATCCTAAAAACATTCCAAGAAACCTACCTTTAAAAAGACATCTAAATCTATCACTCCACGTCTCAATGCTTCCCCAAGGTAGAAGATGGTGTCTTCAATTGCATTTTCCTCTGCATATAAGTTCAGGATCTGTTTGTAAAGTGGTGCTGTAGGAATAATAACTTCATCTATGTCATTATTTTCTGACTGACTTTCCATTTTCTCTAAGGCAGAACTGAGCTCCTCATCCTTCTTTTTGAGAAGTTCAATGTTCTTGTCAACTTCAGCCTAAAAACAATTAAGATGTTTATTTACTTTCTTGTGATACAATTGTCTAGATGAAAGATTTGTAGACACACATGCTCATCCTGTACTTCTTTGCTTATCTCTATTAGGATTTTTACAAAAGAAAGAGCTATCAATTTGTACATTGCAAATCTACAGATCTTTTAAAAAAGTAACATCTGCTTTAGATAATATCAATCCATTACTCATAACTGTAGAGATGGCATGCTAACACTCCAAGTATTTCCAAGTTGCCACATTAGGAAAAAAAAACCATTTAAACTGGTTACAGATAACAAAAGCAAAACAAAAGTAATTATTTTATTTGGAATGCAGTATCCTGAGGTCTCTAGTCCAATTAATAATTTCTAACTGTTTCTTTTAACCACATCTGAACACTGAGTTGGTTTCAGAAACTGTGCATCAGTTCCAAAATCTTACTCCTGAGTAGCAATGCAATAAGCAGATGGGCTAAGCAGAAGATGCCTTAATGAAAAACTGCAGGAATTTCTGAGCACACTGTGAGCAGGAGGAACWTCTGGGAAAGGAGAAGTTACACAAGGCAGGTTACACAAGGAGGCTGTGACYAAGATCTGTTGTCTGCACTAAGACACTGAAATCTTCTTCAGTGCTGCTGCTACACACTATTATCAAGAAACTGAGACACAATTATGAACTAATCTCACATCRTAACAACTATCACAGGAAAGATGGGGAAAATGATACTGTGCCTCTACTACTGAGCAATGACATTTGTTAAGACACATGCAGGACACTGCATCTCATTGTCAGTACTATTTCTGACTTGCTTCAGTCTGAGCACATGCACCCAACTGCAAAAGAGAAAAAACAATGTGCTGGAAGCTTTGTTACTTCTCTCATGCTTARTAATTAATAAATTAAAAGCTTCTGTTCACTACTAGGAACACTCAGGTAGGCAGCAGTGGTTCATCTCAGCTTACCACTTCCTGGTCCAGGCGAGTWACCATCTCTTCCAGTTTCTGGTGCCCTTTCTTCAGGTCCTCTTCTGTGCGTTTCAAGGCGTTGAGTTCAGCTTGTGCACGATCCATCTCCTCCTTCATCCGCCATCTCAGTTTGTCACTGACCGCYGAGATGAGGGACGCTCGGATGGTGTCCTCGCTGATGGTGCCATCTCTGCTGGGTCCTGCACAAGAAAGTTCCAGGAGCATTAMATTAATGCTGGGCTGCACTGGCTGCAGTGTAAAGCCAGCTGGAACAGCAAGTGACCAACTTGTTCTATGTACTTCAGCAATGTCAGATACTAAATAAACTGCTTTCCACAATAATTCCCAGAAGCAGCAGAGACCTCAGTGAGGTAACATACATTAGGATGGACACAAGTAAATTTAAGAGTATGCACCCGTTCATTCACTTCAGTGTTCCAATATCCACACCTTTTTTTTTTTGTAATTTAAAAATGGGCTGGCCATTCACCCTGAAGTCTACAAATGTTTTTAGTCTGAGACCTTTTAAAGAAGAGTGAGAGTAAATGGCTGTATTCAACCACAATTAATGTTATAGCTGACTTGAGACAGTGAATTTGCCTGCTACAGGTATTAGTTTGGTTATTTTGGTATTTTTGGAATTGCCTGGTCTGATAAGGAAAGTTTTGAACAAGGAAAGACAAAGGGAGAGTTACAGAGACCATCCACGCAGCTTAGTGGGGGGATACCTCTAGGAAGGGCACACATCCAGGAAGCAATTAYGAGGTATTCCCTTTCATCCCTCCTAGGAAATGGACACGCTTGAGTMCTTGAACTAACACAGTCAGTGTGCRAAACAAACAGGAAGYAGATGAGGCCTTTTAGAGAYAGCTGGAATCAGCCTCAGTCCCATGCCCTGGTTCGCATGGGGAACTTCAACCTCCCTGACACCTGCTGGAGGGACAACACAGCCAGGAACAGAGTCCAGGAGAYTGCTGGAAAGCACTGACAATAACTTTCTGATACAGATGCATACAATGAGGAAAGATGTGCTGTAAAACTAACAAGGAATGTCTGGTTGGAGATGTGAAGTCTGGGGCAGCCTTGGCTACAGTGACCATGAGATCGTGGAGTTCCGCATCCCACAAGGAGAAAGCAGGGCAAGGAATAAGATCATAACCCGGAACTCAGGAGAGCTAACTCTGGCCTCCTCACAGAGCTTCATGGAAAAATTCCATGGGAATTTACCATAGAGGRAAGAGGGGTCCAAGAGAGCAGGTGAATATTCAAGGATCACTTCCTCCAAGCTCAAGAACAATGCATTCCTATGGGCCAGTGAGCAGAAGGGATAGGGGACCTGAATATGCTTTTGCAAATCAGCCTTTCAAGGGTGATTTCAAGTCTGTCACTAACACACTTTTAAAYAGAAAGGTAAGTACTTTGTGTCTGTCACAGGAAGTGCAATGTGTCCCCAGATCAGGAAACTCAAAGAGTAGTCTAGAGATATGAAGTGGCTGCTGGTGAGGTTTATCACAAACTGCTTCAATTATTCTGTGGGAATAACTGGAAGGTAATTGTTTCCCCAGACTTGTGCCTCACACCTTCTAGTCCAGTGAAATTTCAATTGGATTGCAACAACTATGGACAAAGCAAGAATTACAGCAGCTTTTGTGTCTAAACTTTACAATTCCTATGAATGAAACCCAGAGAGATTTGAAGCTCTGTAACTGCAAAGAAAATATGCAAGAATTTTTACCAAGTATCTTTTTATCCAGAGACACAGCTATCAAAACCCTGAAGCTGTTACAGCATTATGTACATCACGTTTCCCAGTACCTTAGATGTCAAAAAACAGCAGTGCAAAAATACTCATAACAGCTCATGTRCATCTTGTATAGTTGAAGACTTTTATTTTTGACTTCTGCTAACAAAACTACATAAATTTGTATGTCTTCCCTATGCTTTTTGGTCTGTTCCTGTCCACAAAACTTAAACCAAGCTATATGGGTGGAAAAATACAGTTAAGCAAATGAATGACAGGAACCATGGGAAGCATATAATGCTTACCTAATCCACCAAGGCCTTCTAAAACTAAGAAAACATACATTTTGATCAATACAAATGTGAGCACTTTATATACATATAAAATACACATGTGTACCTTTTTAAAAAAACAAGTAAATTAACATTGAAAAATAAAGAGATTGAATTAATTAAAAGCTAGTRCAAACACAGCCTTAGGAAAATATGAGTATCCCAACACTTCATCTGATTTACAGTTCTGGCCTAAAAAAATTGCTCTGTTGCCAGTCAACAAGACAACTGGTAAAACTGGGTTAACTATTAAGGCCAGCAACAGAAGACGTCAAATAGCACTATACACGTAAACTCAGGAATCCATCTTTTCTCCTTATGAAAAGGAGAAAAAGAACAGCACTTTCTACATTGAGAAATAAAACTTGTATCAACTCAAACTATCTGGGACAAAGAGTTTATTCACTGTTTAGGACTTCTTGTTTAAGGCAGACAATTGTTCCCAACCAAAAAGGCCTGATTTCCCTTMAAAAAAAACAGTATTAGCATGATTTTTGTTACTGTTACTTTACATAATGTGTAATTCTCTAACACRAAGTCAGAGTCAGCCAGAACCAGTATCAGTAGAACTTATGTTTACTTTCYTTTCCCCTGACATCCTTCACTCATGGAGTTTTTATGCAAGGCTCACTTTAACAGTAAAGTAGGAGAGAAGAAAAAAAGAATGAAATCACAATACACCTAGCACAATGAAAGTTCACACAGAAATGCCACCAGATAGGAAAGAGGTCTTTGAATGTAAAAGGCATCATTTTAATACAGCTCAATTAATGTATCTTCTTAAAGAGCATGAACTCCTAGCATTTTCTGTCACTTCCATAATTAGCCCAGCTTGGGGAAGATTTCATGGCACATGGTCATTAAATCCACAGAACTCTGAAACCTTTAACCTTTACTAGGCAGAGTCTGGTTTCAGAAGTGACCTTATAGAATCATCAAACCAGTAACTGCATAAGGAAATAATGGTGGATGACTGAACAGAAAGAAAAATCCTTGAAAAAACAGTGATTGATAAAAACTGGAGCTACTTTGTATGAACATTTTCATTCAATTCAAACTACGCTCACTATAGGAAACACACCATCATCACCCACACAAAACTCTCAAGTTCTAGCAACTGATACGCTCTTATATGAGCTATCACAATAAACCACAGCCAAACAAACAAACTGTACAGGAGAAAAACATTTCCAGTTGAAAGGAAAAACAATACTGTACTGTAAAAAACACCCAACAAAACAAACACAACAACAAAAGCACCTCACAATATTGTAAATATAGTGTAGGATTAAAGACATGAGTTTGCATTTCATCTGGCATAAGAGGTAAGCCATGTAAAATAGGTGTAGGACTTCCACCTATTTGCATTGAATAAGTCAGTGTAATGTTAAACTGTCACTATGAAACCAGGCATTACAACTTGATACCCCAGATGATCTAACTGAGGACTAGAAGAGCTTCTATCTTTGGCAGATACTGTACCTCTATTCATATTCAGTGGGGATRAAAACAAGGGAAAAAAATTAAATAGAACATACCTGTATTTTAAATTATCTCTCTACTACAAAGCAAAATTSGATTTGTTTGAGAAAGACACTGCAGAAAGCCAACATTTCCCAGGAAAGGCTATCAGCTCCCTACAAGAGCTGGCGGAGATCATTAATTCTCCAGACCCAAGTRCAGCTCCACAACTCCAAGCACTGTCTGAGGTACTTGTGTGGGACAGCAGCTTCCTTGCACTGTGCATGACAGACTCACATCACCTCAGAGTGGAGGKGACCACTGAAGCAGCCAAGAACTTTCAGAAAATACTTTATTGAGTGAAAAGGCTGAAAGAACTTGGACACAAAGGACAGGATCAGGCACAGGAAAAATACAACATACAACTTACTGCTGTTTTCAAATTCTGTAGTAACAGAACTCCTCAGATACTTTAGTAAGAGTAAAGTAGAAGCATCTGTCTTCCCTTGCCTTGTCCCCTTGTATGTGAAGGAAAACCACAAAATACACACAGTTCTGGAAAGAAAAGACATTCTATGACTCTAACCCAGACCATTCCATAAATAACCAGGAGTTCCCACTTTAAATGAAGAACCTATGGATGCACTTTTAAATTATGGTGCAAGAGACTACAATGAATTGGTAACGTAAATAACATCACAACAGAATCTACACCCTCACCATACAACTAAGCCAAAAGGACTATTAGCCAGCTGGAAAGTTACTGCACCAGCTCCCTACTCATCYAGATGATATTTATCACTGGTTCCCAGTCTTCTACACATACGCTAAAAGTGAGTGGCATGGTGGAAAGCAAGCTTGTGCCCTGTGTCAGCAAAAGGCCACAGAGCAGCAGACTGGGAAAAGACTCATGTCAATACCCTAAATCCTGATGCTGAATGGACRAAATAAGGAAGTGACAAGCAGAGATCAGTAAGAGGCAACAGGGAAGAGGCTGGAGAAGAAACTCAGCAAAAATGAAGCKCATTCCAAACTGCTATTTTAGAAAGTTACTACTTTTGGAATAAAGTAAGTACAAATAAAGTCCAATAGATGTTTAAATGATGACAAAAGTATTTTTCTAAACCATGAACAGAGCAATGCAGACAACCAAAAGTCACCTAGAGTTAAAGGGTGAGGAAAAAAACATAGTTACATAAGTGCTCTTCAAAATRGTTACAGAGCACACACAATATATTTCATAAACCCAGGAATTTATCGAATTCCTGATAGAATAAAACATAACATAAAGGACATAACATGTATTTTTTTTCWTTCTTCGAATAAATTTTAATTAAAGATCAATACTTTGGATGTTCAGAGTAAGAACAACAGGCTCCTTTTCCCATTTCATTTCCTTACATATCATTATAAAGAAAAGCTTCACTTCAGAGAAATGCTTTCCAAGGTACTCACCAACAGTGGTGACAGGAGGCTGAGAAGGGTAGTACTGAACACTAGTGGTTGCTGGAAATGGAACACCACCTGGGTAAGGATAGTTTGGGTAGCTGCTTTGAAAAAGAAAGATATGCTAATATTATGCAACTATTAGTAAAACATTCATTTACATAATAAAATGTTAAAATTGCAGACCTTTTTCCTGCTCACATTAACATTTTTTGCAACTGGTATTTCTGGTAGTATTTAAAATACCATTTTATCTGAAATTCTATCTAGTTATTGCCTGGTCAACATTTGGATAACAAATTCTCCTAAATCTCTTACTGTTGCTATACARAACCCCAAAAGTATCCAAAAGAAATTAATCTATCTAAAAATTCCCAAACAGCAATCTCATATTACTAATTTTTAAATATCAGAAGAGTAGAAAAGATGACTGAWGAACTGCTTTATGTAAACATAAAAATGATGTCCAAAATATAGCTGCAAGGTGAAACAAACTCCTCCAGAAATTCTCAGTCCTGCTCTGAAGGATAAAGAAAGCAGAAGTTTTCATTTGCTCACTGAAACAATTGAGATGACACATGACAGTCTACAACACCTTTCTAAAATACATTTGCTATCAACTAAAACAAGTACTTCAATCAGTCAGTAYTAGACTGACAAATACCTGCATGCAGCGAAGTATTAACTATAGTTATAATTACACAAACTGGTCCAAAAACTCATGCAAAATATAAAATAAGCATATTCTRTCTCTCTTCAGGAAACTGCAAATTTAATAGTTCTTAAAACCTTCTGTTCATTCATAAATTATATATTTTAAAAACAGTTCTTCTATTATTTGCTGACATGTAAACATTAAAATCACTTTAAATAAACATATTTAGGAKGAAAAATCATGCTGTAAGAACTTACAAAAATCCTAACCTTTCACCTCTTAAAACATRACACTCCCTTGCCTTCCCAATCCTCATAGGTGTATACATCTTAATTTTTTTTTTTAAATCAAAATGCTCCATATTACATAAATTACATTTTAAATCAGAATGCTCCATATTGCTCTCATATGCTCCTAACACAAAATCAGGACATAAGGATATTAATAATAAAACCAATCAATTATGATGTAAAAAAAAGTAAGTACACACTAGGAGGCAGTAGTCAACATCTCACTGTTTACTAAGACAGACTTGCAGGTCTTCTGGAAATGCTTTATTCCAAACTATTATACAGAAAAAATGTATTGGTTAATATGAATAAAAAGCTTTGAAAGTAACTTTGTGTCTTTCAAATTCCATTACAGTGCTCTGAATTAAGTCCATATTTACGCTGGAGTCAAGACTTATAKTAACTCAGCAATGTTTTGTTCAATTTTTGAGTTGCTAATAAAATCTTGACTTGTAGGGGTACATTTCTTTCCATGTCATGTTAATATATCAACCTCAYAAAAACATATGAGTGAAGCAAGGTAACAGCCAGGAGACAGGTAATCATTTTCAAAATAAATTGATCATCCAAGTATATTTCATTTGAAGCAACACAGAAGAAAAATCAACCTTCCTCCAACTTTCTTTTGCTACTGAAAAGAAYTCAGCCCTCACTTTTAACAAACCTGCTAACAAGAACAATTATACAACAAATAAACCATACGAAAATACAATGATGATTAGACACCATTCAGTGAAACTCTCCATCAGGTAAATGATGATGGYTTAAAGGAGCTCTTACCTTGGGTTTGGAGTGCTTGATGGTGGATAGGGAGATATTCCACCTGGAATTCCTGGCATATAGGAAGCTAAATAAAACAATGAAGTTGTGTATTTTTACATTTCAGAAGTTTAATACGTATCATGATATATTAATCTCCAGTTTGGCAAGAGGTAAATGTGCAATGTTTGATGTGAGCTGTCTCTGTGTCAACTGACCCCTCAGAACAGGGAAAGGACTAAAACTGCAGCAGACCTTCCCACCATGCCGGAATTCCCTTTCTGCAACCAAGCACATTTTCACAAAACAGAGGCAAAATCTGCATTTCTGAATTTTCCTCTCCCTATCAACCTTGGTTAAAATATTTTCAATATTATTTTGTCTGCAGGGAGAGTATGAGAAATGTAATCAAAGTCAATTAACACATTCCTTGGAACAACTAACTAGGACATCTCTCACTGGATATTTTCCCAAATCACTGGATTGTCAGGGTTGGAAGRGACCTCTGGAGATCATCAAGTCYAACCCCTGCAACAGRAGAGTCATCTAGAGTAGGTGACACAGGAACACATCCCAGTGGGGTTTGAATGTCCACAGAGAGGGAGAACCCACAAGCTCCCTGGCCAGCCTGTTCAGTGCTCTGTCACCTTCAATGTAGAGAAGTTCTTCCTCAAATACAAATATAATCAYGTTGTTATATTGATTTCTTTCTTAATTTTCACTTTAAACCAATCACTGCATGGCTAAAAATATGTATCAATTTAAAAATGAACAAGTAGGTGGGTCAAGGAAGAAAACAAACCTGCAGCTAGGGTATTCACAAAAATAATGGTGTGGTATTAAAGATGACCTACCTTAAGAGCTATCTCCATTTTTTATATAATAGCTGAAAAAAGAATTTAACCTTGCTGGCCAATGATCTTCACTCAATAAATAACAAGGGCATAATTTAAGTATCTTCAAAGTAGCTGATTAGCTGTTTAATGATCCAACCATATTCTTATTCAGTAATTGCTGCTATTTAGAAGTTTTATTTAAAAATTTTGGTATCAGCACATATAAATGTCTAAGGCTTTAACAGTCTCAGCAATTTTAAGAATTTTCTTGAAAAGCTGACAAAAATATGTTTTGGACATACTTATTCCCCATTTCTAGCAATTTTAGGAATAATCCATCAAATAGCTGTTTTTTTAAGAGCTGAGCTATTTCCACCCTTCAGTGCTTTGAAATGATTAAAATTTTTGTCAAAGGACTTCATTTCCTCTTAAACAATGTATCTTGAATGTGAAAAAACTCAAACCTAAATGACTGTAAAATAAGGAAAGTCTGACTACTCTAGTAAAACTAAGCTACTGAAAATTCCAAAACCCTGAAATATTTTCACTGAAATTACTTCAGCAATGACATAATTCATAGTATTTCAGTTCAATTCAATTCAAAAYAGTAATTCAAMGCAATTTAAGCTTTGAATGACTACAAGAGTAATCAAGTGTGGCTCATTGAAGGTTTGTCCTTAAGGTACAAGTCACAGTCTCTGCTAAGCCTACACTTATAGTGACCCCCACTGTTCCTGGAAAATCAGGACAATACAATCAGCTGGTGCTCTTACAGGCAGGGGACAAGCTAAGAAGTCCCAAACACCTGCCTTTAGACAATTATTCCTAATGGTCCCACTTATGTTTGCTACCCATTTTCCCACAGGTTAAAAGCCTAAGACCTTGCTAAAAACGGGTTCTGCTGGAAATGGCAATGAATAGCACTTCAACTTTTCAAAGGTAACACTGTGATCAAGTAAAAGCCATATTTCAACAGAAAATTGACACAGTCCTAAAAATCTGACAAAAATAAATAACACCAAATACACCTACCCTACCATTAAATTAATATAGAACTGTTATAACACCATTAAATAAACAATCTCCAGCCAAACTGCTTCCCCTTTCACCACTATCATAGTCTTTGGCTTTAGTAGGTCCATGCTACTGTTTTTTTGGTCTTTCTCCACCCAATACAAAGTTTCCTCCTGGAAGAATTTCTATTTTGTTTCCTACTTCCTCTTTGTTCCCCACCTAACCATCCCCAGTCTTTAAAATAAAATACCTCCAGAAGTTTAAATAAATGARTTGTTTTTAAAGTCTTGAGAATTTTTCCAAGAAAATAAGAATGGATACTAAATCAGAACACCAAATCAACAGAGAATAAAGAATAAAAAAAAAATTACAAGACAGTGGGTTTTTCATATTCAGCCAGCAACTCTTACAAAATAAAAATAAACCACACAGAACAGGAGCATGGGCATAGGAAACATAAGAACTAAGCAYGCTTTTGCTTATGAAATCAATGGTTGAGGATACTTAAAAGCTGAACTTGCATTATCAGAATGAAAARAAGATACAGACAGTTATCTGAATGATACCTTTTTAAGTCTGTCTTGGAATGTCGACAGAACACCACCTGTTTTGAGGAGCTTGTGGGTATTTGAGTGAGTTCTGGTTTTGTTTGGGTTTTGCTTTGTTGTTACACAAACTTGATTCTTCCCCTCCAAAAGCCAAAAAAATCCACAAATTCTTAGWCTCACAGAACCAYTTAGGTTGGAAAAGRCCTTTAAGATCACTGAGCCCAACAAGGTAAAGAACAGCCCAGGTGAATTAACTAGCCAGCAATATAAAAGGTCAATCTACAGTAAAATGTATTATTTATGGRCAAGTTGTGCAGGGCAACAATCACTTTGAAATATTAATAAGAAGATTTGCAGAAATCACTAGTGAGCACTTACTGGTGGGTGGGCCTGTTGCCTGRTATGGTGGGTAGCTGGAGGAAGCAGTGGGCCGAGAAAAGACTGGAGGTTCCTCTCCAAACACAACAATCATGACCTGGATCAGCTCCAACAAGTCTGACTGGGGCTGGCAGGGAAAGCAAATCACAAGTTTTCATTTTGCTAACAGAGTTTAACCGACTGTAGCAACAATAGGATACCATTCCATCAGCCCTCAAAAGCATTCCTTTTATTTGTGGGTTTAGATTTTTTTTAAACACACACACAGACAAACACACAAACACACACACACACACACACACACACACACACGTGTATGTGTGCATGTATATAGAAAAATATATGAGCATATTTAACATCCTTTCTGGATTTTCTTATAGATACCAAACCCAGCCATCTCATACTCAAAACCATATAGCAAAACACAGCACCAGCCACATTCATACCCAGAATAAACAGGGTAATACTGGGCTCCATATCAACTGCAGGATGGTAAATGACTGGGTACAAATGTCCAATAATGGATTTTAATGTTAAGAAATTAAAATCCATCCTTCAATGTGAAAAAAGYACAGATCACTAATATTTTAGACATTCCAATTTCATACATCATAGCTTTTGCTCTGATTCAGAAAATTCAGAATTCTCAATAAAGAAATATTCTAACCCATTAAGAAGAGGCACAAATCTCCTATAAATACAGTTAAACAAGGTTTTCTGTTTATAACTACTTAATATAGGAATTTCATTTTGCCAAAATAAGAACAAGCACCATGAATGCAGCACCATTAAATATCCCAATTCCAAGTTTACTTAGCTCTATCTTAGCTCTATAATCCACCTACTTATTTTTACCAACCTCTCCAACAGGAAGAATTCTGTACCACCTGTACCTTAGAGAATCTTCTTGCTTGTGCAAGACCTGTATCCTGACCTGGGCAGTTTTTTTCCCACTATTACCATGCAAGCACTGAACTATCACCCATCCTTAATAAATGTATTTCTGTTAATCACTTTTTACAGAACTAGGCATCTTGTATAATTTTTCTGCTCTTGTCAACAGTTTATCTTCTTTGCAAGTCCATGTTTTGGCCAAAACTCGTATGAGGCCTGCACTGCTCAATGCCTCTTTTTATTGGTAAAGCAAATATACCAATTYCTGAGGCTCCAGGAATGCCTACATAAAGAAGTCCAAGTATATACATAAACAAGTCTGTTTTAGTCACAGATGTTTTAAATAAATTTATAATTTCCCTTCTGTAAATATCCTTATTTCACAAATCCTCACATCAGTGTCCTGCCAAAGAAGGACACCTTATGCTGCACTGTTTAATCAGATGAGTTGTAACTAAAGATGCAATTACATTAAATAACCAGAACACAGAATCCAACACCCTGAACTTCAAGACATTCCAAAAAATAAACCACTTAATTTTATCTTAAAAAATGGTTTAAGACTTCTAATAWAGACTACTGTTTTTATTAAAAATGATACAACTATCCCAAGGAACGCAGAACTGAGCAATTTGAGAATTTCAAGTTCCCCATACTTACATATTTCCACTCATGCAGGTAGGGAAGGTATATCTTTCCATTTGCATCAACATGCTTCCCAGTTTTTATTGTCATAGAGCTAGTGGGTTTAACAAAACAAATCGGGGGGTTGAAAGGGTAGGTGTCCAGCAGCCACAAGCAAATTGGGATATTGTATGTGTTACCTAGAAAAGATATTTTTAAAGATTTTAGAAGTTATTTCAATTATTCTACTGTCCTCCTGTATGCAGATTCCTGTATTAAAAAATCTCCTAAACCAAATAAACWCAACCGTACAAAGTTAAAAGCTGAAGCCAAAATTTACTGATAACATTCAATGAATAGGTAACACTATGGCCACAAAGTCAACATTTTTCCAAACAATTAAAGTTTGATTTATAAATGTCATTTACCATTAATACACCATCTCATTTGTTCTACAATACAACATTACAAGACTCTAAACTGAATTACTGTTAGCTGAAGCAATAAATGGTTTGTAACCCTCATTCAACTGACAAGCTTGAAAAGACTTTCAATACTGAAAGAAAAGAGGTGTTACAAAGCTGTGAAAGACTGAAGAAGCAATGCTAAGCATTGAAATTTTATCCTGCAGCAAAAATAGAGAACAATTTCTTTTAAATATTTCACTTGGGACAAGTAAAGGATTTCAAGAAAAGAGTGATTAGCAAAGCAGTGAGGTTGAATCACGACAAATCTAAGTAAGTTTTTAATGGAATTCAAGAAAATAATGGGGATGATGAAAATTGTTATAAATGCATACCTCTGTAAGGCACAGGAATGGTTCCACTGAGGCTCATCAACTCCCTAGATGAACCATCATTAAAAACTGAAAAGGAACAAACAATATTTTTAAAACAAACATATTGGTTACAATAATCTCTGTTCAGGTTACACCCCATCTATTTATTGGCTTAAGTTTTCACAAGTTACACACATATAAACTCAGCCTGAAAGTTTCAGCTCTTGCACATTTATGGATTAGCAAATGATTGTCCACAATCAGGCAACTCCTTATGAATAACACGCTTCTGAGAAATGAATGACTAATCATTGTCGAACTACCTTCTCCACAAATAAAACTGTTTCCTCATTCAGTGCCCAAGTAAAACATGTTGGAACCTTGCAAACTGCAAATAATGTAAATTGCTGCAAAGATAATCTGAACTCAAACTTGATTTAAAAAAAAACAACTGTCATCTGAAGTTTATAAAGAATTCCTTTATGCTTTCTTCAAAAAAGCAGGTTAGCAAGAATCCTGAAAATTCTAGTCCACAGGCATTTATTAMAGAATCAGTAAAGGTAATTTAACCAAACAATAACACACTGAAGAGGAAAAAAAGTGTTTGATTATCTGTCAAATCTTAGTCTTAGTCACAAACTGAACAAGAACTCTAACCTACATTTACTGAGTTCCTGTATTTAGTTTTCTCACACTTTTACTCCAATAMATTATTCTTGAATAAATCATTTTTTGTTGAGGAAGCTTTTATCTTCCTAGTTTTACCTGAGACATAATTTAAATGTAGGTTATTGCGTACAATTATTGTGGTGCTGATATTCTGCAAAGGCAGGTAGAACATGCTGGGATTTCAACGGGGACATTTATTTCATTATAAACTTGAAAACTATCTCATCAGCAATGTAATTATTTTCTTGTTGCTGATGTCACTGCTACAAATAACACCCATTATCTGAAAGTGATTCTGTGCTTAGCCTCTTCCAGGCAGCTTAAAGAGCATTAGGGAACACAAATGGCTACAGCTTAAGGATATCTGGAATTCAGATCACTATTCTTACACAAACTTGTACAGCTATTCCAGCTACAGCCCCTGCACTTCTGCTTCATTTCTCCAGTCACTGTGTGAATTTTTATTTCTGTGACAGCTGCTGGCTTGCAGCTAACTCAAAACGAATTCATCTTTTACCTGTCCATGTCCCTTCTTAGTATTTCTCAATCCAGATTCACAATATAAAAAGCAGAAGACATTAAAATCTCTGATRATGTATTAGTAATATAAATTACCTCACAGAGGAATCCCAAAGGTGACAGCTAAAAAAAGGTGATYTTAAGAAGGCTGACCTCAGCAGCTATGCTGGCTCACTGTAGGCTGTSGTATCATCTTCATTTAACACACTTAAATGTAAATGAACTTAGAGACTTTACAACAGCTAATAAACAGTGATTATCATCAATGATTCACATTAYAAAACCTTCATGCCAATTTTCTATATACTTCACTGTTTTCTTCCTACTCTTAAGGACTGCCACTGCCATTTATTATTTTAAATAGAGCATTTGTTCACTGATTTACAGTCCTTCCTACATAGAATTTTAAARACATCTCTGTATGGCAGCAAAGTTGAATTTGTAAGATACCAGCAATCTCAGGACACCAACTGATGACATCAATGAGTGATTAACTAAAAGTTAAGATGTTAAAAATGTGACACTTCTTCACACATTAGATAGCTATTTTCTAAAGTAACCTTACTATATTACTAAGTCTGTGTTTCTAAAGAAGTATTGATGTCAGAGACAAAAAAGAGAAACTCAAGTTATATTTTCTGGTTTTAATCTTCCTTTTGCCCCCACAAAACCTAGCAAATACATCTACAACATCAACAATTCACCAATAAAAATTTCTCATGCACAGACTAACCATATGAATCCATGACAGGTTTGAGGTCCTTGTACTGAGTGATAACACTGGTTGTCTCCTGTATAGTTAGGTCTCTATACTTATACTGGAAAACAAAAGAGAAAGAAATTATTTCAAAGACTAAATTTTTAGTGCAATTTAATTCAACTTTTTATTTTACTCAATAGACAGCACTTATTTTACTCAATAGACAGMACTCAATAGACAGCACTAATATATCTATATATGGATATTCTTTTCTACTCTTAGTTTGGAATAAGAATTTATTTGTCCGTATTACTTATCACTTCCTATATAAGTTACTAAATTTTAACAAGGTGTTAGGATGTTTTTAGTCTTAACAAGTGTCCGTGCATCAAGTGATTTGTGAAAAGCTACTGCATTTTCTTTCATGTTCTACCAAGTGTATCTGATAAATAAGTGTGAATCTTAAAAAAAAAAAAAAAAAAAAAAGGCATCTCCAAACAAATAGAGTGATGTTTTGGACACTCCTGATAAACAGCTATTTAGGATCTGAATCACACAGATACATTTCATAGCACTTCTCAGAGCGACAGCATATTTATCGATCACTGATCGGCATTTTAATGTATTTTATCAATTAGAAAGCAGACACATCAAGGCACAATATTATCAGTAATAATATTGGTTTTACTCCATTTCTTTTATTAGGAGGAGGGAGTAATTCATACCACAGGTGACCTGTAAACTACAGATATGCTATTACAGAATTCACCAATCTTGGACCTACAACCCCAAAAGGAGGCAGAGACTCCTGGGCAACAGAGAGTTGGTTCACCACACAATGCAGCTCCTTAGCCTTGTGGCCATTCCTCCTGATAATTACCATTAAAAAGAAAAGCCAGCAATATGGTCCCTTAAAAATGTTTTCATTCTAATACGACAAAAAAAAATTGCAATCTTCAAATGTTTGAAGGAACACAGACAAAGACATTTCGTTGAATCATGGTAGGAAGACAAAGAGCCCAGCACAATGAAATGTCCGATATCCAAAGCATGCAAATGTTAACAACATCTGAACAAATTAATTCAGACATTATCCGAGAGCAAACTCTGGTGCCACAGCTAMAGGTCACCTTGGCTCTGATAAACACTCATGAGTTGTGAAGCTTAGAAATTAACTCTTCTTCCTGTCACCTCCAGAGATTGACAAGGATGTGCCTCCCGGGTGTGACAACTCGGATTTACAGAGCAGAGATGAAYCCACCACACCACTTGCCACAATGCCACCTCAGCCTAGAGAAAGCACCAGCACCTCAGGTGATGCTGTGACCCATCTTCCTCAAATGGCCAAGGACAAAACAGCCACATAGTCTGCCTGCAAAATGCTGCTCTGTGCCACAGAAAGCAACTCCTCCAGCAGGGATTCCTATGTGTGCAGAGAGGCAACAGCATGGAGGTCAGTCAGCTCCTGGGTGCTGTTTTGGTGGGAGGGCTGCAGCCTCCTTTGGAAAGGGAGGCAGAATTGGGAGAGTGCAGGAGGGGCTTGACAGWGAGACAACTTGAACAACTTTATTAACTTTGTTAAGTGAGTACATTCCTCTCTCCCTCCCCAACACCTGCCACAAACAGGAACAGGCATTGCTGGAACATGGAATAATTTTCATGTACACCAGCCAGAGACTGKCAGTACATACCCACACCACTGCATATCTCACTACTGGACAAATGACAGATGGTCACCAGCTACTTTTAAATGGGGAAGCCTTTTCATAGGAACAAACTTTATGATGCAGGATTTAGCCTCAAGACTGGCATAATCACTATTAAAAAGAAAACTGCATTCCACTAAGAGAAGCTCTTAAAAAGCACAAGGATCACAGAATGGTTTGGGTTGGAARGGACCTTAAAGATCATCTYGTTCCAACCCCGAGGCAGGAAATTTCCCACTAGAYCAGGCTGCTCAGAGCCCCCTCCAGCCTGGCCTTGAACACTGCCAGGGATGGGGCAACCTGTTGCAGTGTCTCACCACCCTCACCGTAAGAAAATATGAAGAGTTAGGATTTAATTCCACTTTTGGCACAAGAATCTCAAGTCAATTATGCCAATGAACTGCTAAAACAATGCCTGCCTGTTCAGCAGGCACACTGGGGGTCTGGTACACAGCTTTCAAAAATTAGGTCCAAAACCTGAACATTAAGCAATTATTTTCATATCTCTATTAATAAACAAAGAAAAATAATATTTTTGCAAACTGTTTTCACACTGAGTGATGGTTACTTAGTAGAGAGACACTTGCAAGATTCCAGCTACTGCCACAAGCAAAATTAATATGACCTGWGCAGTTAATTTCTGTACTAAGATCCATTTCCAAGAAATGTCTAAATCTGTTTGGAAAAGATAAGATCCTAGTGATTTCTCCAAAGTTTACTAAACCTGATTAATTTGAACTCTTAGTTTCTAGGCTTTTATTTTTCCTCCTCCATTTTCAGATGGAAAATGCTTCCCCCTCATTTTACATACCAGGAAACAGATCACAGAAAGATGAAGCTTTTCAAGATCTGACAGCAAGTAAATACCTTAAGTTAAWTTAAGTGCTTGGTTTCATGCAAACTAGGGTCAGGCTTTTGCTCTCTCATGCACTGAACTACTCAATATGCAATATATCATTAAACTTCCCTCTCTAGAACAAAAAGTGTAACTATTTCTGAAAAATAAATATAATGAGACAGGGTCTTCATTTTTCATCCGGTATCAAGTAGCTTTTGGACTTTGAACCTACAAAAAGTCAGATGGGAATGTAAAATGAGCACGTGTGGAGGAATAAAGACATTGGACTACCTCAAATTCTGTTTTCTCTACGGCATAGCAATAATTAATTTGGCAGAGACAGGTGTATACAAATAAATACAGGATCTCATTTGCTGACACTAAGTATTCAACACTCATTTTCAAGTTGATAAAAAAAAATATGCTTATGACTCCATGGAGGTGAATGTGCCTTTGATTTTGATCAAATTCTCAACTGCTGTATTTTTCAAAAGGCTGCAAACATGATCAAATGTTGCAAGAAATTCCAGAATCCCCCCCACACCGACCCACAACTCCCTCTAAGTGTCAGCCTTAGGGATTGTCATTCCACGCTGCTGGACAAAGCCCAGTTTTCACCTGCACGCGTGGCTCTGCAGGATTCAGTGGTTAATGATTTGTCTTCCAAGAGATTTTCCTGTCTCCTTACACAGGGGCGATAACAAAACGCACCCCACCCCGGTCAGTGCTGCGGAGCTCACCTTCCCCCTCCTGTAACCGGGGAACACAAGCGCCTTGTGACCCCCACGGGGCTGCGGCCCCGCCGGGGCCTGGCACCGTCCCAGCCCGGCCCCGCGATTTGACACGACCATTTTGGGCTCGCTGCGCCGTTCTTCCCTTCCCAACCCAAGACCCCGGAGCCTCCCGGCGCTGGGCCCCGCTGCCGCCAGCCCGGCCGCCGGCCGAGCCCGTACCTTGGTGAGCATCTTCTTGAGCTGGCTCTCGGACACGGCCATGGCGGCCGCCGCTCCCCGCCSCTGCCGCTGCTCCCGGTGCCGCCGCCGGTGCCGCCCGCCCGGCCCTACATAAACACAGGAAGTGCCCACACGCCCGCTTCCGGCGGCGGCGCCGCGTCCGCGCGTCACGGGGCGGGCCCGAACGGCACCGGGCGGCCCCGAGCGACACCGAACAGCCCCGAGCGACACCGAGCGACAACGAACGGTACCGAGCGGTCCCGAGCGACACCGAACAGCCCCGAGCGACACCGAGCGACACCGGGCGGGTCCCGAACGGCACCGGGCGGCCCCGAGCGACACCGAACGGCACCGGGCGGCCCCGAGCGACACCGAACGGCACCGAGCGGCCCCGAGCGACACCGAGCGGCCCCGGGGATCAGGAATGCCAGGGAGCCCCGAAAATGGCTTTGCAGTGCAGTTTATTGTTAAAAAGGCCGTTCTGGGAGTTCATCGCCCGTGATACAGCAAAGTGCCGTTTCCCACCGCGCCCCTGGACCTGCAGCCCTTCGGTTTCTGTTCAAGGAATGCCACACAAACGCGAGATCGGCAGCGTTAATCGACAAAACACACCTGCGAGAGCTGCCAGCGTTTTAAGATTACTTTAAAACCCACCAAACCGAATAAAYAACAGTATGGCTGTCTGCATGAAAAGAAACGCTCAACAGATGAGAACACCATGAAAAACAATGTAAAACCATAAATTCATATTGGTTTTTTACAAAGTGGGAAAAAAACCCCGAAACCCCAAAGTGCAGCTTTAAATAAATAACTGCAAAGTTGGTTACCTGCAGCCTTTACTAAGTTTTGCCCCATCACTTACCACCACAGTGAAGGAAATTYGGGTATTCCATAAAAAAGGTCTGAATTACTGAAGGTTTTTTCCTATTTTTATCCCAGTTCTGAGATCGGGATACACTCAGAACTCCCTGCATGTCTGACTCTTTGTGAGATGCAACTGGAAGGCACAATGGAACAGATCTTTGGCCACACATTCTGCTTCTGCTTAGAAAGCTTTAATATTTAACTAGTCCCCCCTCAAAGTGTAAATAGGGAATGACATTCCTAAACTGCACACAGCAGGAGTAGAGCCCACGTCTCCTGTGCCTGTGATGCTGAGATATAATCAGAAGAAATACAGTCTTTTACCAATGCAGTGAATCAAGAGGTTAGAACCCAAAAAACTCCTTGATCTCAAAAACATCTGTTTTTTATCTAAAAATCCACATCCTGCTTTTTCATCACATCCTTGGCCTATGAGGAGGAGGGTTACAGTTCTGTTGCCTTCTCCTGAGGCTGATGGAAAGCTCCCTGCCCTCAGCTGGCTCTGGACTGAGGTCTGACTGTACAGACACTCCTGCATTGTTTAACTGCTGGATTTTGTCCTTCATTTGAAGCCCAGCCCTGCTCCTCCAGGAAGAGTCCCTGTTCMAGTGCTGCATGTGTACACAGAGAACTGCAGATGCTTTAGTGCTCTGAATGTCCTTACAAAATAAAAGCAAGCAAGTTATGACCAGAATATTTCAGACATCACTAAGTGTGAACAGAAATCCGTACCCAATAGTTCTTCTTTGAAGGACAGTGCAAACATCATGCTCCCCACAGTAAATGGCAGGACTCCTTAAGAGCATCTACAGCCATGAAAGATGGAGCTATGGAACTGCATCCCCAGTGCCTGAGGAGCTGGAGTGTGACTGTACCCTAAATAGGCCCCAGATGCAGCATTTAAAAGCCACAAAAAAGGGTTCAAATGGGCTCTGCATGCTGGAGTTTCTGCAGAGCTGGGTAAGCCCCTCTTCAGGACTGCCTCCTAAAGAGTTGCAAAGAGCTAAGGATAACCCAAGAATCAGCCTATAATTGGCAGCCACAATCAAGAATCTAGGTCAAACATTCTTGCATGYTACCCTCCTCAGTTTGGCTACCAAAAGTGCACTTTCCAAAGAAACAAAAATACTGTATTGTGCAGTATTAAATTATTTAAACTTAAATGGAAAAAGCACTTTTGGAAAGTAACAAAGCTTCCTGTTTTCCACAGAAATTCATATATACGAAGCAACCTCTTCTGCCTTGCAAATCTCCAAGAGCAGACACAAGGCTTCCCTTGTGCTTCATCACAGTTTCAGCTGCTGCTGAAGGTCATGAATTGAGCCTGCGCTGCTTTGCAGTTTCTCTTGCACCAGTGGGTCTTCCTCCAGTCCGACCATTTCAATCACTCCACTGCTTCCAAGAATACATGGAAGACTTAAGAATACTTCACTGTTCACTTTGCAACATCCCTGGAACAACACACAAAGAACACTGTCACATACAGTTACTCATTTAWGCTGTCTGAAGCATGGAACTACACAAAATAACTTGATTATTTTAATTAGGCAAGGATATTCCAACATCTGGCATGTTTGGATAGATCAAATTCTTGATCAGTTATTTTAGATACTGTGCAATGGGTTACTGTACAGAAACTTTAAAATACTACTGTGCAGATAAAAATTTGTGAACCATGTCATACTTCAGGAAGTTTTTCAAGAKAGATGTATCAGATCTCTATAATGCAGACCAACTTTATACTACTAAACACAACTTCTTAACTAGAGCAAGCAGGGACACTTGATAGTAAAGTATCACGAGTTCTTTTAGGACTGAACAAACTAAATTAATTCATGCAGCCTGGGGAACATTTTTCAAATATTGTTCCCATATCGATTTTGTGAAAGAATYCATCAAACCTATATTCCTGTAATTYGAGTTTATATTGTAGATTGTGTTTATTTTTGGGATTTGTCTGGGAAATTTTCCATTCTGTAGCTACTCCCCAGTTTAAGAGAGTTGTCACTCCTCTGTATCTACATTTAGCTCAGGAATTATTAAAAACTTCACTTGGAACATAATTATTTAATTAGGTTTATGCTTGTACTCAGTAAAATAAGCAGCCAGTTCAACTTCCCCGCACAGGGACATGCAAATTGTACTTCTGAAGGCTCTAAATGGAAGTGACAAATAAATGTTTCTGTGTGGGTTTTCTCATCATATGGAATGATCTAATGCTTTAGTGAAGCCTCTTAAGAAGCTTTAAACAAGGTTCAGTCTACAATTTTAAGTTTACTATTGCTTCATAATCTTCTCTTAAGTAAAGCACTAAGGAGCGAAAAAGCAGCTGTTTCAAACCTGATCAAATAAAATACTGGCAGAAAATGCATTTTATACTTTCAGAAAAGATTTGGACTTCTTTTGACCCCTAAAAAAAAAAAAATCTACATTCAATACCGAGCACTCAGGAACTACAACTCATATTTCAGTTGCCCCATCCAGCTATTGCAGGGGAGCTGGGCAGGCACCTTGAATGCACTTTCTCTCTGGACTTGCATTTTTTGGGAGAATAACTCATTGCTTTCAGATGAAAACAGTAAGTGATTTTTGCTCCTTTTTGGACTGGAATTGAAAGCTGCTGAGATGTCTGTGCTGCTTAAGTTAATGGTCATATCCAGTATAAATAATATAATTACAGTGCCAACCAAAAGGTATTAATAACACATTTACCTTTGCCAAAGTGGATACAGAATGAATCTTTCTTTTATCTTTCAGAATGCTGTCAGTCAAATCAGCAACAGAGAGCCCCACAGACCAAGATCTCTGACCTTTTCCCTTTAAAACTTCCATGGCTCTACATGTAAACCAAGAAAAGGAGACAAACGTGATTTTAAACGTTAGAGTTTAATTATTCTTATTTTGGTTTATATGTAAAATCCGAAAGACAGGTTTAAATGTACCATATCAGGTAGTGTACTATAAAAATACGATTTTCTGTTTTGGAAAACACCAGAATGRAATAAAGAATTGCTTAGATGAACTTCCTTACAATACCTTTTATCTACACTAGTAATAATTCTTTTTTCTGTCAAGAGCTGTAACTGATAATTAAATCAGTTAAATTCATCCAAACTGGTGCTTTGCTTTGAAGCAAATGCTTCCAACACAACCATGCCAGAAGGCTTGTCTAGTGTTTGTTTTAAATATACCATYAAACAGCTCTGATATTCTAGTGTATATTGTGGTGTCTTTTCCTTACATCACACATGCACAACATTAGTAACAATTTCTGAWAAACAATGGCCATATGCACATTCATAAAAAGTGAATGACAACTTGACCTGCAATTTCCTACAAACCAAACGTATGAACATTTTAGAGCAAGCTTCCCCCACTTCATAAAGAGCTGAAGAATGTGTAAACATCAAGTGCCTAAAAATGAAGGAAAAGAAAAATAYTGTAATGGTGTTACCTGTTAGCCACCTTTTCCCTTGAGTTATGAGCAGCCATTGCTTCTGTTTGATTTGCAACGACATTATAGCTGGTCCATGATGGTACTGGATTGAAACAACCCAAAAAAAATATAAAAGCAAGCATTTGTGGTTTATTTTGTTTTTTTGCTTCCTCTGACAAATGTCAAATACTTTTGCTACMGCTCCAGGTCTACAGACTTTGGTAGCCCAAAACTATGTTACTTAAAACTATTATTGTGAAAATTTACCACTCTTCTTACTACTTTTCTCATTACTTCCATTACTTTTCTCAATTACTCTTTCATTATTCAATTACTTAAGCACTACCAGGACATTATATGCTAATCATCGTAATAAAGCACCACTTTACCTTTCTCTTCCCCTTGTTCACCAATAACCCAGGCATCTTTTGCCAGCACCTCTGCTTTCAAAAGGTTTGTCAGGATGTACTGAAGTCTCTCTGAATCGAGGTTGGCACCTACTCCAATTACTCTGCTTTTGGGAAATGAGCTCAGCTTCCATGACACAAATGTCATTACTTCAACTAAATGTGAAAGAAAAAACATATTGCCAATGAAGGACCACTCAAAATTCAACAAAACTGCAAATTATGAATCATCATTGTGAAAAAGTCTGGACTTCTTTAGTTTAGAGAAGGCATAAGCATGTAAGTACATATTGATGGTTTATTTCAACCTAAAACTTTGAGTCAGGTAGGGAAGAAGTGAAAAAATAAGAATAATAATGGTAAGAGAATGAGAAGGGCTGTCTTCTATGCTTTACAGGATAGAGGCTTACACTTACTTCTTTCCCTCTAAAGTAGTGATTTTGCTTTATCTTAGTTCACAGTGTCACTGAAGATTTAAAATCCACCAAAATCCAGCTGCAATATCTATTATCAGCACTATACTTTGCACATGTGAGTGTGATCRTGACACATAACATACATGGATCCTGCACAGGAGAAATGTGCACATTAAACTCACAACTGACATGACAACAGCCAATGGATGCTAATCATATAGATACAATGAGACTGAAACTACATACAGAAACATACAGAAATACATACCTGTTACACAAAACAAAGTATACTATTTTCTTTTGTCTTGGTAACAGTAAAGAAAAAACCCTCAAAGACAGTGTCCTGCTCAAAGCTGAAAAGGAAAACATCTTTCAGAGCAGCAAGAATTTTTGACTAACTGGGTGTAATTCAGCAGTTAACATATTTTTGAAACAGGCCAAAGTAAAAGCCAGGTGAGGGACAGAACATTATCAAAGTACTAACATACCAGGATGAGAAGCAACAAGGAGAACAGCATTCTGACTGTAGTGTGATATTGCTGGAATAATTCCTCTGAACAAATCCACATTGTTTTGTATGACTTCAAGGTAAGTCTGAGCATTACCCAGAGAATTAACTGTAAGCACCACAACTTTGGAATCAGCTGATGCAGAAAAATCTGAAAATATTAAAAAAAACCATGGTTTTGAAATTTATGTCATTCTATTGAGTTTTGGATGCAAAACCAAGAGCTGTTCTAAAGACTGAACTGTAACATCCAACTTAATTAGGGATTCTGTGCCTCATGCTCCCCACCCTTATATCCCTCAGTGTGGAATTTGGGGCACTTCCACAGCACCTATAAAACACAGCTCTCCCACAGAACTATGTTCCTGTTTTATATGTGCCAAACACAAAAGGCAGACTGCAATTTGTCCAAGTTTACAGAGCAGAGACCAGAAAACATCCAGAGAGCTTTGACAGACAGCTTTGACAGACAAACTTTTCCAAGTTTTCTTGGCAAAAAAAGGAAAAAAAAACCATGAAAAGGCACCTTAACTTTAATTCTAACTGTTAAAGAAGGGGCAAAGACTTTTACTTCTTTATCTGTGAAAAGCATACCAAAAGCATGCCAAACTTATGAACTCAAATAAAATACAAAGTCTATTTATTAACCCAAAGAAACACACAACCACGCTTGTTTGCAGGAATTTGTGCACGCATCTTTGAGTATCTGAGTGCCAAACAGGTGATCAGCCTGGACACARACACAAGGTGATTTGTTGTTGCACTGACACATTGAAAGCATATKAAATAGGATATAATTAATACCAGCTTGCCCCAAACCTAGATATAAACATACTAAAATTAACAGGGGACAGCATTTTGCAGTATTGTAACACTACCAAAAGCACAGCCAGAAACAACACCCAGGCTTCTTGTACCACAGCTAAATGTAAACATACAATGGGCAACCACTCAGGCACAAACACATCTGTGGTACAGTTGCACAACCAGGGTTCAGGAAAAAAAACTGTGGTAGCAGTAAAACCTGCAAGATGAAGATCAGAKAATGTACAGCAGGCAACGCCAGGTGCAGAAAAAGCAACAAAAATGCCAGAATAAGTCTCTGTACACAAAATAAGATAAATTAAAAGAGAAGCACAAGAAAACCCCTCATTTTATCTTGCAAAGAATGCAAGGAACATAGAAACATGACACATAAGCAAGGAAGAATGTTGCTCAATTCAGTTCCAGCTTCCCCTATGGAAAAACTTCTGAGCTTCATGGCCTCAACCTCTGCAACCATCAAAGACCAAAGACTGTAGCCATCATCACTAATTACAGAGACACGGCATTGACTCTGGTGAATTGTAGGCTCACAGCTGAMTGAGGACAAAATGATGACAAACACATTGCTTGAATATGCAGTGACAGTGACTAAGGACTAACTGCTGGCCCTGGGCATGTTTAAAGAACACCAATTTAGGAGAACGGCACTTTGAAACACACCTTTGTCAGCCTTTTGAACACTGCTTTCACAGCCTTCTCTAGCTCCTACGCATATATTTTCTCCCCTCCTTCCCCATGACACTGAAGTACTAGCTTGGCTTCTCTGTATTTCTGTGTCAGTCCAATTTGAGCATTATTAGCCTCTTACCTGCAAGTACAGACATAAAAAAATACAGCCTAYGTGCCTCTGTATCTCCCCAGGTGCCCTGCTCTCATTAAAATGAGCACAAGCACATCCAGTACAGCACTAATTCCTGTTCCAGAAAAAACATCTCACACCTTTGCTGATCTCCACATTTGGCACAGCAAAAATCTCCAAGTCCATTGTCCCTCCTTTAGCTGCACCTTCAGAAAGATCCAAAAGAACCACCTTGTCTGCAACATCCTGTAYGAATAAAAATACAGATCATCAATAAACCAAAACAAAACTTGTTCTCCTGGAAGTGAGGAATAAAACCCAAAATTCTTTGAAATGAAGAAACACATTTCATTGTATGCTGTACTGTATAAAAACCAAACAAAATTACTGATCAAAATTACAACCAAATCAGAAGAACTCATTTTAGGAAGTCTCATTAAACGAGAACGCATTACAAAACAAATAAAAAACTCATGAAACTATCTCTGGGAAGTTAAAAACGCTGACATTACTGTTATGTCTAACATATGGCWGCAATAAAGCACAAACCACCTACAGACTATCCTTGTCCAGGGAACTAGGAAATCCCAACTACAAGAGCCTACCACTCAGAATCCTTTGAGGATTTTCAAAGTAAGTGAATTCAGTATCCAACCCTTTGAATTAAAAAAGCTGACTGATAAACCAGGGCAGAAAACTAACACTTCTGCATATCCATAAGTTAACTGAGGAGACAAACGACCTCAGCAGAGACAGTTAGTAAAACTAATGAGGTATTCTTTAGTAGCAGATATTAAGAACTAGATTGGAATCCTCTCTTTTAATCAGGTCTGTTGCTATTTTTAGTAATTATGTACCTTTGCTGCAACTGCTARTACACATGCAATGCCAAGATCTCCAGCTCCAACAACAGTAATTTTGTTAAAACATTCTCCATTTTTGCCTCCAATTTTACTCTTTGTCTTCACATCCGTCTCTCCTACAATTAAAAGAAAACCACAAAATTAGGTGCTGATCCACAGTGTATCAGTACAAGCATTACTGCTTCATAAAGGATCATGGTTGTGCCAGAGTTAAATCAAGTTACATGAACTTCAAAACAGCAGYCAAGCCTGACCACAGAAAATTCATCACAAACTTGCAAGGTGTAAAACACAAATAACTCCTTTCTAGATTGGAATGGTTTTTTTTTCCCTAAGTAGAAATAGATGAGCATGGAAACAGCAAGAAGCTGGACACTAATACCACACAAATAATACCACTAATACCACCACTCCCTTTGCTGCTGGTACAGGTGTGAATACATTCCCTGGTCATAAAATTTGTATAATATAAACTGTGTAATCTTYTTTGTGACATCAAGTAATGACAATAAGTGAATATATTTTATAAGAACATTAGAAACAAGCCCATGAAGTCATCCCTACCTTCAGTAATCTTTGCAATATAGGAGAGAAGTTCTGCTTGCCTGGCTGCATCAGAAGATGACAGTGMGTACAAAGGGAGCTCTTCCTCAAACTTTGCAATCATTTCCTTGATTAATCCAATTAGAGTTGATTTAGGCTGAAATACAACAATAGAGAAGACAAAACAGCTGAATAGCTATTTCATATAGTGATATCAGCTGTGAACTGCCACAGCGATACAAAGTTTAATCAAATTATAAATACTGGCACTCTTAACATTTACACAAACATTTAAGGGAAAGAAAAGCATCATTATTTGAGAAGCTACTTTCCAAAAAGGAGTATGGCTTAAAAGGAATTTAACAAAAAAGGAATTCTAAAATTCAAATTACTAGTGCTACTAATTTTGAAGGTATCCATGAACGTATGGAAGCTTTGATATAGTCACAATCCCCAGTACTATAATGGGGACAAATCCTAGCTAAAGAAAAGATAGTTCAGTCTTAGATGAGCTCAACTGTCCAGAGTTCCAGCAATTCAATCCTCCTCCAGGCAAAACACATTATGAAGTCAGCAGAAGTTCCCACAGGAATTTCTGTATCAATCATGTAATACAGTCCATTCATTTTAAAAAGCTGGCATTCGTTAAATAATTTTTACTGACCTGGCCATCATATTTAAATGAGTAACTTTAAACAGTGCATAAAACCATTTAGCAACAACAGAGATTTTTGAATCTCTGTGCTGTTTGTGTTCTGCCAAAAGAGACATACCCAAAAGGTAGAAAACTTCCACTGAGCTTTCCTGAGGGATACTCAACTGCTCCAGTGTTATTACTATTCACAGCAACTAAGTATAATGAGGCTTACATTGCTTTCTAAAGAATCAGTCCTTTTTTCCTTCAGCTTAAAATAATTTTCCTTAATATCACTTCCAACTTCCTTTACAAGCCTCAGACTGCCTGAAAGCTTCATATGATACCATGCATTATTCCCAAACACTTCCCTCCCCTGTCAGCCACTCCACCTCTTACATGACACCAGTTCTGCAGGTAGGGCAAATAAATCCTGCCGCGTGCATCAACGTGTTTCCCCACTGAAATGCCCATGTTTGCAGTYGGCTTCAGGAAGCAAATGGGGGGAGCAAAGGGATGAGAATCCAGGATCCACAGACGAATAGGGATGTTATAGGAATTACCTGTTCAACACAAAAGAAAAGCCATTGAGTAGAAATGGCTTCTACCAATTTATGCAAAATCCTTTCTAGCTCCCTTTGAAGACGCTGCACAGTGAATTGTTAAGAGGCAGCATCAACACATTTTATGTTTAGATTCATAACTGCCAAGAAAATTACATATGATTTATCTTACCATATTTCACTGGAACAGTACCACTAAAATTCAGGAGGTCCTTCTGGGATCCATCCTTGAAGGCTGAAATTAAAAACTTAGTTTTAAAAAGTAATAAATCCTTTCAAACCTGGCATGGCAATCCCACCCACAACTATCAATATACAAMAGTGACTTTTCTTTAGAAATCAAATACACTGCTTCTGAAAGACCAAGAGTAAAATGTTACTAAGGTCCCCCCTCCTCTTTTAAATATTTCYTTAATGAAATTTTAACAAAAATTGCATTGGTACAACTAAGCATATCATTAATTTGAAAACCTCTTGCCCTGGGTAATGCTGATGTAGGAATTTCCAGTTAGGCTGATGGATTCTGAAAGTCATACTCTACAAGCTGAAGGCATCAAAATACTTTCATTACAATACTGAAATATGGGAAAAATGATTTGACATATAAAGAATGTAAAGCATCAATTTTCTATGATTACTGAGAAGTTGAAGTAAGATGAAATAAATGAGTTGCGAAGGTTTTTATATGTATGCAGTCTTAGAAGAGCATTCAGGAACAGTAACCTATGTGAATGAGAAATTTGACTTTAGTTTGGTGCAAAATAAAGACAGGAACACAACTGAAATATATTCACATTCTATTATATACAGTCTATGTTTATGGCAAGTAAAAATCCCCACAGTTTGTTCAGAGTAACTGTATCACTTCTTACTGTATGTGTTCATAGAGAAGGTGAAGTTTGGGTAGGCCTTGCTAACATTCTTCAGCTCTTCTATGGTCAGGTCTCTGAATTTATACTGAGAAGAGGGAGAAAAAAATGAGCAAAAGTTTCACTTAAAGGGCTTCATTCATTACAAGAAATAGGGAACAAGACACTATAGAAGGCAGAAACACAAGAAGAGAAGGTAATAATTGCCTGTAGTATTATAAACAGTTTTGATGTGAAATAAATTATCAAGAAGAATTTATTACAAAAAAGTTTTAAAGCTATTGCACGTCTGCTGTTGCTACATWAAAGATGTCAAGTTCTGAACATCACTCCTTATTTATAACTTCTTCCCCTTAATAGCTGTGTGAGCATAAGTTTAGTAAAATTTAGTCTCCTCTGTACACAGTAATTAAAAATATAAAAATATGGACCTCTTAAAAAAAGGAGTTTATTTTCTTCCTGATACAGAAAAACTCAGATCCACCTGCACAGATTTTAGAAGAGTTTCCTAAAATTTCACTTTCCACAAACATATTAAATGTRTAAGTAATTAGCCTCTGGGAATTTATTTTCCATTTTTAAGCTGTCTTTGAGAGCTGAAAAAATGAATCACTGCAGCTTCACTAAGACTGTCCTCAGCCAGTCTGATACATGMATTTCCAAGAGATTTGCATCCTCCCACATCCCAAAGTTATGAAAACTATGTCCCACTTCCTAGATTAGAGCCTCTGCTTCTCCTTAGGAAACCTGATATTTTTTTTTTGGCACCCTAGCCTAAGCAAACAAAACCGTGGCACGGCAGAGAGTGGCTCACAGCCCTGGAATAATTATAACAAAGTAGTAGCTAAAATCGAACTTCTCCTCAGTCTGGCAGTGCCCRGCAGCAATGCTGCAGCTATGGGCTTGGCACAGTTATTTTCCACTTTGTATWGGAAATCACAGAGCTGCTGACAAGAAACACCTTTTAGTCAGCTTCTCCCCATCACAGGATTCTGCAAAGTCATGCAGCAAAAGAAAAAAAATTAAAAGAATTCCATGTTCCTAATTAAGAAAGTCTACACAACTTAGACTTACGACATTTTTTGGAAGCGTTAATACACCTGGTTATGAAACMAAAGTCATCTTTCCCCAGCTGGCCTCCTGTTCGTAATGCAAATCGAGGCATTCCTATCAAAGTTTGTCCTCTTCTAAAGATCACAAGATTTATGAAGTAATTCAGACACAAACCTTCCTCATTTCGCACCCGAAATTATTCGGCATGCCCAAAACCTAAATACGCCCACGTCAGTTTCTCCCATGGAAATTAAAACGCTCAGAGGGATGCTACAMCAACACGCCTGTGCTCCTAAAGCGTGGAGGCCGAGAACGCCACCAAAACCAGAAAAGTTATCCATTTCCCATGGGTGAAGAGAAAGCTTTCAGTCGTGAGGCACAGGGTGAACCACGGGGATTAACTACTCATGTGGGGTACAACTTAAAACTCGGCTGCAGTAGGAGAGCGCAGACGCCGGGATGCGACGGGACACCGACGGGACACCACCGGAACTCCATCGGGACCCCGATGCTCTTCCCGCTCCGTCCGGGACCCGCGCCTCGAACCCCGCCCCGCTCCGTCCCCCGCTCCGCTCCCCGTCCCCCGCTCCGCTCCCCGTCCCCCGCTCGCTCCGCTCCCCTCACACCCCGCTCCGTCCCCCGCTCCGCTCCCCTCACACCTTGCCCAGCTGCCTCCGCAGCGTCTCCTCCGCGAGCGCCATGGCGGCGCGAGGCGCGTTCCCGGCGGCCCCCGCGCGGAGCAGCACCGCCCCTCAGGGGGACGGGGCGGGTCCCGGGCCGGCTCAGCGGGAAAGGAGGATCGGTCTAAGGGAGAGGGAGCAACCGATGGCCCCTAGTCAAGGGAATCCGGGAAGTAACAGGCGTGAAGGATGCAGTAAATTAAGATGTTGGTCATAGAATCACAGAATAAGCTGAGTTGGAGGSGACCCACCAGGACCATCGAGTGCTGCTCCTRGCCCTGCACGGGACATGCCGAGTCACCTCATGCGCCTTAGGGCACTGTCCAAGTATTTCTTAAACTCTTGTCAGGCTGGTGCTGCGACCACTGCCCTGGGGAGCTGTCCCAGTGCACAGCCACCCTCTGGGTGAAAAACCTTGTCGTGATACCCGACCTAAACCGCCCCTGAAACACYTTCAGGCCATTTTCTCGAGTCCAGTCACTGTTCACCACAGAAAGAGATCAGTGTCTRCCCCTCTGCTTCCCCTCGAGAGGAAGTTGTAACTACAGTGAAATGTCTCAGTCTCCTCCAGACTGAACAAGCAAGTGATCTCATCCACTTCTACATCTTCCCTGCAGAGCCTTCACCGTCCTTGTGACCACACATAGTTATTATATTGAGGTGGGGATTTCTTCCCTCTGGGTTGGCAGTATCAATACTGATTTGCAGCTTTGCAAGAATATAAATACAAATCTGACATGAATTTCTTTCTCTACATTAATCTCTTATTTTTTTAAGCCTCCCTACCACACAGCAGAGATACCAGAAAACTGCCTTTTGGAAAGTGGGCCATGCAAGTCTGATGGCCAATTCACTGGAAAACACAGTAGGTTCAGCAAGATAAATGGTGACAAATGCCAGTTCTATCTCCATTACTGATCAGAAAACTGACAGATCAGAACAGAATAGACCAAGCGTGATGGTAGCATGCTTTCACAAGGAGTAAGATCTTGAGAAAGCTCATACAATTTTTTCTCCCTCACCAATATGAGGCCTGAAGCAGACAAGAACCASGAGCACAGGTTGATAAAGCCATGGCAGAAAACAATTAGAACAACCTGCACCAGTCTTCTCCATCACACATATTGTTTAACGATGCTGATTTTGCTTCTATGCTGAAATTGTCGTGTGTGATGTAATGATGTTACAGCTTCAATGTTCAGTTTGGAAAGTAGCACAAGATCAGTCTTTCAGGAATTGACAATGCAGATTACAGCAAGAGCTATACATCATTTGCCAAGCAAGCATAGTACTGTTACAGAATAAGCAGCATGAACATTTATCTAAACCTTTTAAGAGATAATCTGAAAATAATGTTTTCACAAAGGTCCYAGCAGAGACTAATGTTTGAGAATAAAACATTCTTTTTAAATTTTTAATCTCAAGCATCTAAATTTTTTATTATTTCATGGTAAAAGCAACTGGGAAAGTCTGAGATATTTACAGTCATTAGTAAGTTTGATGTTTGGAAATGCTTTTAAAATCTGTGTTCATATATAACCAAAACAATCATAGGAACCAGGACAATGACGATGTTCCTGTGGCAGTGACACACTGTCAGGTCATACTGTTTCTGTTCAAGGCTTAGAGATCACCTTTGAGTTAAACTGCACCCAAACTACAGATCTAAATTTCATAGTACTCATTGTTCAARCTAACTTAAATTGAGAGCTGGGTCTGTGCCCTTTGACTCAAAATGCTCTCTAAACATCATTTGCAATGAATAACTCGGTATTACATTAACAGATTGTATTGCCAGCTTATCTTAGGTAAAGAAGTATCTTCCTAGCAGTCTTGCTACTCCTCATATCCTCTAGTAGCTCCTCTGACCCATCACTGGGAACACACTTCCAAATGAAGCCAYAGAATTTTGCAGGTATTCTTACCCAACTAGCTACAGAAATTTTCCAAAACTAAGATTTATTAAGCAATACATCCAGCTCTTATGTTATTATAATTCCTCACTGTATAAGAGCTCACCTTATATAATAAAAACCAGCATTTTGCAAAGATGTTTTCTTTGAGAGTTGGGAGAAAAGTTGATAATTGAAACAGAAAATAGACTGCAATTTCTCAGGTGCTAAGGCAGAGGCAAAGCAAAATTGTAGTCTTGGGATGATACAGATCTTGTCTTACAGCATAAAGCTTTGGAATTTTATTCAGCTCTACACAAGAGAAGGCATCATTTCTATTGCCTCAAACTTTTGCACTCTAAATACCAGTCTCAATATTCTGCTTGCCTGTGAACATCCTGTATCTGTAGGGATGCTAGCTTAGAGTAAAGCCAAGGGAAAGGGTTCCCAGTAGCATGAAASTACAATCCAGGAAGCATTCTTAAGTGGAGAAAATCATGCAATACTGACTTATCTAAATTAAGTGAAAGAGTAATGGAATGGAAATGACAAGTTCAACTTGTAAATATTAAATGCTATGGGAAAAATTTGCATTTCTAAAATATACTCTACTGATATCCTAGCTACCAAAGATTGGGAATAAATGCAGACCAACTGCAACACCCATGCCAGGAGCAAACATCCTAACAAAACCCAAACTGCCTTCAGCTCCGGAAATATAATGACCGAAAGCATTATCCATCTATCCATCTTATAACCATCTATCCATCTCAGTGTTTCCCCTCAGTTCTGAGCAACCATCAAGTCACCCATATGCATGACCTATACTGGGACCATTTTATATGTCTTAACAATCACTTTTAAAGCACCAACCAAGGCTGGATTTAAGCCAGCAGCTATGAGGTGCATCAAACCTCACTGCCAACTGCAGACAGTGAAGAGACTTCCACAAAATAGGCCCATTTTCCTGCCAGTTTCAGCATCTGTGTCACTGCTTGTAAACAGGGCACCCCACAGCCCTGGGCCACATCATGCACCCTACATGCCATTGCCACATTTCCTTTTTACACAACTGGCAAACAAAAACCAGACTAATTAAGGGTTTGCTGGCTCASCCTTTTGGCCGGGGAGTAGCAGGAGTAGCAGAAGAGGGCGGCAGTAGCAGCACTGAGCTCTGAAGATTCACCTTGTGTGACCAGGTGCCTGTCTACACATCATTTACAGTCATGTTTGACACCACTGCAGARGTCTCAAACACTCCCTGCACATTCAGTAGAAATAAAGAACCAGATAAAGTGGACTGACTCACAATAATGCCCCTCCTGTCCAAAAATAATCAGTGTTCTCCATCAGCTGGAGAGTAGCAGGTCAAACCACAGGTGCTCTGCTCTACATATATAACATTTCTTTGTTTGGTCAGATCTCGTGACATACCAGACAYGTTGAAGGATCACCAGGCGTTCGTAAAACACAAGAAATGGAAGAAGGTGACAGGGAGAATGACAGGGAGCTAAGGACAGACCCACAACAAACATCATGTGTTCTTGCTGCATTCAAGGAAGCTACTTACCTCTCCTGAAGAAATSCACAAAGGAGGTTTAATACATGGAGAAGCATATGTAAGGCACTCAAACAGCCCTTTGGACTTAGGGTGCACAGGTATGTGTTCAGTTACTCCCATGCACTACAAAACCTGGAACTCTACACTCAAGCATTTTTCAAATCAGAGTCAAGCCAATTCCTTCAACCAAAAAAAAAAAAAAAAATGACTGAAGCTCTGAAGTTTTTCAATTGTTGATTGCCATCAACTCTCTGACACACAGTACAAACTTAACTGTTCTCAAGCAAGGAATGTTGAGAAAAAAAGCTGTCTTCTAACAAGGAAACCATGTAATTAATTTTTTCCCCAATCTGAATAAATAATTTTGTTACTTCCAAAAGTAGCTTTACTGGCTGGATTAAGGTAATGACTCAATGTAGAACCACCCTCCACCTGAATAGAATATCTTTGCCTTGAAATAATGGCTGATATTGATGATTACAATTACTAAGATGTATTAAAAATCTCAAGAGAATTCCATAAAACATGTTTCCAAAGAAAGTAAGATTTCATGCCTTCAAAACAAGGTACTCAGAAGACACAATAAATGCAGATTTGCAATATTATTTAAAAATCCCTTTTTAAGCACAAGTGTGCAAGTGTTGCTGTTCCACATAACAGCAGGCRGGCCCAGTGATGTGTATCCATTCATCCATTTGGAAGTAGGTCACAGCAGCAGCTGATCAGAACAGTCACTGCAGTTACTTCCACCATCAAAGCACAAAACCCTTTCAGAGGAGACAGCCATCACGGTGGYTTAGACTCCTTGCATGGGAGTAAGGGAACCCAAGAAGAATGCTGCTTGTGAACACTTCAAATGCAAAAGATTAAAGGCAATGGGCACACTTGGGTACATAATCATATATACATATGCATGTGTGTATACATACATACATATACATGTAATGTCACAGCCTAAACTGCAGGAGACACTGGGAACTTTCAGATCTTTTCTGAAGTCTTAAGTGACTCCATTAATTTTTCATACCTTTTTGCTGGCCACATGAGAACCATTCTTGGAGAACACTCAGACTGAAATTGCTGTATGTGAGAGCTCAGAGGAAACAGCAGAAAGCAATTCTGATAAATTTTCCATAAGTAAACCAATGAGAAATAGCAGTAAAATGTTTAATGCCTGTAATTTATTGTACACATACTCTGCAAAACTTATATGCATTTGRTGTGTGCAAAAGTGTACACTTCCTTGACAGCACCAGAGAGCAGTTAAGCTATGGAGTTTTTTAACCTGATTTGTCACATTGTGTAAAAAGACACTGTGCACACGATATCCCCGAAGAAAAAGAATCATTGGCTAAAACTAGAAGCACCCTTGTTTACACACTAACACTTTAATATTGCATCACACCCACTCACCAAAATAAATAGAAGTACATTCATCACAATTTAAACACCAGTCTCTCCATATATTTATTTTCTTTCTGACATGTTTTGGTCTCCAGAAATATGCTATATCTAGAAATATGCATCAGCTACTAGATTATGTTACAAAATGCAAAAAGAAAAAAAATAGAAAATTAGTTTTCCTGGACAATATTTTGGGCTTTACACA